ACTTGCCTAACCATTTACTGGAAAGGTAAGCTGTACTCCTAAAATGACATGAGGACCTCAACACCATTTGCTTGCCAACATTGCCTTTAAAAGAGAAAAAGCCTGTTAAAAATCCTTGTGGGTTATGGGTTTGAGAAGTTGGAGGAGCCTGAACTCTGACCTAACCTCCTCTAATAATTAGTAGCAATGATTATACATCATCACTTTTCTTCAGGACCACTTCCTGTTTCTATTTCTGAACACCCCTGTTTTGAGTCTCCTCAGAATTTTCTTTTCTTGAGCATTCAACAGTATTTTTGCCCCCAGCTTTGACTGTTCCACAGGCACCTCAAACTTAGTGTGTCCTCAATTAAACCCATCGTCTCTCCTACCCTTCTTTCAATTTTTCTTTGATCAACCATCTAGGCCAACCCAGTCAGAAACCTAAACCTTCTAAGTTGATTTCTCATTTCTGTATCTGGTTAGTAGTTTGTTCAGTTCTATCTTAAATCACTCAAATATACCTTCAACTGCCACCCCTTCAAGCTTTTATCATTCCAAAGTACTCACACCAATGTCTCCACCTTTGTCACTCATAATCTTACATACCATTTTTGATTTGAGATGCTACATAGTGCAGGCTGGACATGAACTTGTAAACACATGGGCACACACATGCAGACACACACACAGGAGAACAACAAAGGGGGAATGGCTGCCGAGTAGGGGTCAGCGGCTGTGTTGTGAAGAGGTGAATACAATCATAGTACATTACATATGTCCATCAAGTTGTCAGAACGTTCTTTTTTTTTAAGATTTATTTATTTATTTATTTATTTATTTATTTATTTATGTATACAGTATTCTGTCTGCATATATCCCTGCAGGTCAGAAGAGGGCACCAGATCTCATTATGGATGGTTGTGAGCCACCATGTGGTTGCTGGGAATTGAACTCAGGACCTCTGGAAGAGCAGCCAGTGCTCTTAACCTCTGAGTCATCTCTCCAGCCCTGTCAGAACATTCTAAACTTGAAAGTGGTGACAGCTTCAGAATATGCTACACTAAAAACCATTTAGTTGTACAAATGGGAAAATTGTATGTTATGTAAATTGTTTATCAATGGAGATTTTAGACTTAGAAATTCTGAGTTACTTCACAATCCAGTCTCAGTTTATCTCCTCCTTCCCATCTGTACTCCCTCCCCTAGGTCCCGCCCTGGTCACCTTTCCTCAAAGTGCTGCTGTGTTAAGATGCCCATCCTTAAAAGTAGCACCACGTGTTGTAGCAGGAGATCTAAAGAGATCTAACTACGAACCTGTGACTACACCCAAACAGGTGTGGTCAGTGCCACAGGTGTGTAGTTAGATCTCTCACCAGTGTGTTATCTGGCTGACTGAAGAAAGAGGATTGAAGAGCTTTAAATTTTCTCCAAACCTTTTCTTCTCCCAACGACCCAAGTCAAAATAAAAATACTTGGATGTTAAGAAAAAAACAAAACAAAACATTTTTCTTGATCATAATTTTACCATCTCATGTGAACTCTGAACATAAACATCTTCGAGAAGTTTGTATACCTAATGGTTTGCAGTAAACTAAATAAAATGACATACCTTTTATGTACGCCACCAGCTTTACAGCCAATGGTACTGAAGGACCAAAAAAAAAAAAAAAAAAATCAAATCAATAAAAGTTTAAAAACTTAGGGAACCTCTAATGATAAAGGAAAATTTAACTCCTTAAATCAGGTGTGCCAAAACTGGTGCCTGATCCCCTGCTCTCAGAGGAGAGGTAACTGTCCACCACTCCTGTTAACATTCCTTTGCTAATTGTTGGTCATGAAAATTCCCCAGCCCAGGGGATAACTGACAGACCCTGTGACTCTGTAACCCTGTAAGCCCATGCCCTGTCTTATCTCAGTCAAATGTATCTCCCTTAAAATGTATAGTCACTAACTAACTGTACTTTGTATGACCTTAAGTAACCATGGGAACTCTGTAGTTTATGGCCTCCAACCTTATGGTCTGCCCTTTTTAAAAGCTTCTCTTTTTGGCTGGATGGTCTCTCATTTGTCCGTTATGCAATGAGATCCTGAAGGACCCCAGCCTAAGATGTTTTCTTTGCAGATACGTGAGAACCTGAATTTATGACCCTAACAGGAAAGAGTCGCTAAGTTTGAAGAATTCCACCCTAACAAATGGTTCCCAGAGGTAGAGATGTAATTGCCCTGAACGACCCATGAGCCTGGAGATTGTGCTCGGAGATTGTGGTCAGCCACCTGGAATGAGCCAATCAAAACTGTTTCTCTCGCTCACCCCAGACCCCATCTGTTTGCAGTTTTTGCCTTTAAGAAGCCCCTAGACCTGAGCTTGGGGTCCAGCTCCTCTGCTCCTGCATGAGCGTGAGTAAAATGCTGGGCCCCTGCACGCCGGTTGCTGAATAATAAAGCCTCTTGCTGTTTGCATCAAGTTCTCACCTCCGTCTGGTGACTGGGGTCGCCGGCCACCCTGGGGGGCTCACCCTGTGGGGGTCTTTCAGTACAGACATGGCAGACTCTAACCTCAGTTTAGCTGGAGTATCACTGACAAGTTCTGACCTCCTGATGAGCTGTTTGTGACTTCTTTTGGCTCTCCTAACTGAATATGTCCAACTGTGATTTTACCACATGATGACAGTTTGCTATTTTTCTTTGGTTTCTTCCATTGTGTCAGAACATCCAGAATAAGGGAAAAATACAGAATATACAACTTAAAAGTTTCTGGGACCAGCTCAACAGATGAAGGTGCTTGTGAGCAAGTCCAACAACCTGAATTCAGTCCCCAGTCTCCCTCACAATGAATGAATATTTAAAAAAAATGAAGTTGTTTCCTCCGTGTAAAATAAAGAATACACATTTTACAGACCTGCTGTGACACTTAAATGTGTTGGTGTACACTGCATTTGACAGTCTCTAATATGACTAACGGCAGATGAATGTTATTAGCACATACTTATCTATGCCTGGGGACACAATGAATACTGCTAGAGTCCTGCAGCAGTCAGTGGCAAATGCCTGCTCTCAAAGCAGCTATAAACATGTAATAAGTGATCAAGTTCCCCGGGGGTCACCACTTAGGCAAAATGCCTCTCCCGTGATCTATGTAGGAGTGATATGTAACTGAGTATGTTTTAAGTCTTAATAACTTAAGGTGAAGTTCAAGACCTGAGGATGGGAAAAGGTTGCAACTTCAATTATAAACTTCTAAACTCTGGGGGAAGTTTATTCAAAGGAACGTGTAAAACAACTTCACATTCAGAAAAAGAAAAAAAAAAACCAACAACAAAAACCCACAGGTGTCTTGGGAATGTGTGCTTTAAGTGTTACCATGTAAAAACATTTTAATACTACAAACTACTTGTAAATGTTTGTTCACAGCTTGATGAGAAAATGAAGTGTTTTGTGTGGTAGAAATAACAGCAAATTGGAATTAAGAAATAGTGGATTCTCACACACTCGTTAGCCGCATAACCTTTTAAGTCTTCTGGTCGTAAAAGCCTTCCTTTACCATTTAAGAGATAGTCTAATCTTCAAAGTATAAAGTGTGTTCATATTTAAATGTTTTTCTTACATCCCCCTGCCCTCCACTATTTATTTTATTCACCATCACCCTTGAGTACTTACATTCAACACCTATTTCTCTACCTCAAATAGCCGAGTTAATAATGGTCTTAAATGACAGAATACCCTGTATCGTGCGTCTAGTTTCTTTTTTGTTGTTGTTGTTTTGTTTTTTTGTTTTTTTGTTTTTTTTTGTTTTTTGAGACAGGGTTTCTCTGTACCTTTGGAGCCTATTCTGGAACTCACTCGGTAGACCAGGCTGACCTCAAACTCATAGAGATCAGCTTACCTCTGTCTCCTGAGTGCTGGGATTAAAAGCGTGCGCCACCACCGCAGGCTGGGTGTCTAGCTTCTTTAAAAGGCATAAAACCAGGAATGGAGGGATGGCTCAGTGAGTAAAGGCATCTGCCACCAAGCCGAATGATCTGAGTTCAATCCCTGGGACTCATGAGACAGAAGGAGAGAACGGATGCTCACAAGTTGTCCTCTGACCTCCACATGTTCTCTGTGACAGCCTACCCACATACACACACAAAATAAATACATGTAAAAAAATTTTTTTTAAACTCTTTTTTAAAGGCATGAAAAAATTTGGCCTGGAGAGATGGCTCAGCAGTCAAGAGCACTGGCTGCTCTTTAGGGGACCTAGATTCAATTCCCAGTACGCACATGGCAGCTCACAAGTGTGTGGAACTCCAGTTCCAGGGGATCTGACCTCACACAGACATACACAGGCAAATGCATTGGGCGGGGGGAGAATAAATTTTATGGTATAATAGATTAGTACTTAAGTGAAAACAGAATTCTATTTTAGAACAAGTAATTCTATATTAACCTGGTTGTTATGTGCAATATATTTATACACCCTATTGTTAGTTAAACTAAAGATTCCCTTACTTCTGACATATTCTAGAGAAACATGAGTTAGTTATAAGACACAGTGTTTGAAAGCCCATGACCTTAAAGGACCATGCTCACCATCACCTAAGATCCAAGCGTTTCCTTTCTGGTAGCCTTTTGTACCTGTTTTCCTACAGAACTACAGACTGAGAGAAGTCTGACCACAAAGAAGGATCTAAGCAGACACCAGGAAGCACACAGCCACATAAGATCAGGACTCAAAAGCTACCTCACTGGCTCACTTCTATTAATGCTTGGTGCTAGCTCAGTATTCTTACCATGGCACGGAAAATAAAAGTGACTGTTAAGGTCCACTGAGACAAGACAGTTTCCAGTGCCTATATTGGATATATCCAGAAAGCCCCAGGTCTCCTAGTTTATTAAAAATATGGTCGAAACCCAAGGTGCACTTACTTCTCAATCAGGGGGGGGGGGGGGGGGGCTTTGTCTCTCCAACCCCAGTGCTCAGCTCAAGTTTGAATGCTACTCACAGATGGACTTTATATAATGCACACACACAGACACACACACACAGTAAGTTTATTGTTAAATATTATGGTACCATATGCAGAATCAAAACTGTAAGGGGTTGATCTCCTTGTGCACTGACATGGAAATTCCTGAATAAATGAACAAATTATCAGCTAGGAAAGAAAACTGGAGCACAGATTTTCTACAAGTCTTCTAGTCTTTCTAACAGTTATGGAAAACATGCTCAAAAATTTAGAAAACCATTTTAACATGAGACATCATATTAATAAATAAGCTATATTTACCTCAGTAAATTGAAGACTCCATCAGTTTTAAAGACAGTCTGTATCTGGCTAATTAAATTATAAATATAACGTAGGCATTGTTTAAATGTTTCCTGAATGCTGAAACTGTTAATGCTGGGTTTCCAGCTCCAGGATTGTCCACTCCCCTAGAGGTGAACAACCTTCAGAGGGAACACCAGCCGTGGTGTCACTTGTCCAGGAACCGTCAAGTGGGGACGAGAGTTCACTCCACCTGTTCCAAGAGTCAGCATGTGCTGAACCCTGAGGTTTTGAGCTATCTCCAGCTAAAAGGAGTGTCTGCTTGATTAAATACTGTGCTAAGCTTAGGTCTTCAGGAAGAGAATGTGTGACATTTAAGTTTGCGTCTTGTTCAGAGAGCAGCTGTCTCAGCAGTGTCCAGTCCTGTTTTGCAAAATGCTGACCATCTTCAGAGTCCCTGTCTATGACATGGATTTCTGATTCCACTTTCTGCTCAAATGCTTCTGCTATATCCGTCTCATATATTGGAGAGAGGGTTTTTGAAGGCCGGTGGTCATACATGCAGGTTTGTGCCAGTGTGTCACAATCATCTATGTCTCCTGAAATAATTCATAATACTATACAATGTAAAAATTGCACACCAATACCCCCCAGAGTCTTGTAGAACAATATTAACACAATATAACATTATTAGCTCCTCTCAGAAAAACACAACATGGAAAAAATAACATTTTTACAAAATTGACAAAAGTTTTGAGGCATTTATTTTTCTGTTAAAAAATCCAAGGGTACTGTTTAGCAGCAAAATCAACACAGGTGAACTAACAATAATTTTCCACATTTTAATTTGAAAACTTAGAATACAGAAAATAACAAATTATTTAAACATAAAAGTACACACAAATCTACTTCGCTACAATAGAAACTCAAGGAGGAAGAAAAGACAGTCAATTGGGGGTGTCTTAAAAATAACCTGGTTTCCTGGGGTGGGGGACAAATACTCTATCTAAAGGCTTATTTGTATATTGCACATGCGAAGGAGGATGTGAGCCAGGACAAACAAACAAAAAAACACAACTTTGGAAGAACACCTATTCTTAGCATTTTACTGAATAGGGATTTCTGATAAATATTTTTCTTAAGTACCATACACAATAGTTACTCAACCAGCTATACTATTGCATATTTTAAGTCATTAGCCTGAATTATTGAAATAAGAAAGACATAAACACAAAACAATAGACAAGAAATTATCTTAGCATGTGAAATACGACTGCGCCTTTTCATATATTATCACTGCGTCTAAATATAATCTCTTTTAGGAAACATCTTTTTGCTTGAAAAAAATTTAGAATAGAATTATATGATCCTGAAGAAAGTCTTAGTTTCTGTAAAATGCATATAAATTATAATAATTAATCTAGTTAAAATAGTTTAGTGCTTTTCAGTATGTATTACTATAGTTATTGCACAGCCCTCTTAGATCTATACTAGAAAGTCCATAAACATATCCAGTGTAAAATAAAACTTCCAACAGTCAAGAATGCTTATAGTAAATCAGACATAATAATTGAAATGACACCAAACTAAGTTCCTTTTTTTTTTCCAGGTAAGATCTAGCATGTTATCTGTGTCTAGTAAACAAGTTTTTCCACTACATATTAATTAATTATTCACTAATATTGTAAGCAAACAATAAATAATGAACAGCTAGCTCATTTTCATATCATTGGTAAAATTAAATTCTCATTTAAAAGTTGAAACTGTAGCTTAAATAGTCTAATTAAAATATAACATCCAGGGCTACAGACAACTTTAAACTTCTATGAACTTATTGTCCTATTTATTTATCATATCTATTTCTGTACATTACCTGAAAATACAGCATTATTAGCTTTCTTGGGAGATGTGGAATGGCTCTCTTTCCCTTGACCTTCCTGAGGTGGAACCTGACTCAGATAGGAGTCTAGAGATTTTGCTGAGCTCATCTTTGGTATGTTGGAGCTGAGTTCTCTCTGATGAAGCTCCAGATGACACGGTCTTTCTTGAGATTTTGTGTCACCATCCAAGAACGTGTTGTGCTGCTGGAAGCCATTAGCCACCTTGCTTCTACTATTTATTTCCTCATCTTCGGGAGAAAACTGTTGGCTTCCTTTGGGTGGGACATATAATCTGTTCTTTTGGGCTGTTGAGACACTCTGTTTATCTTTTCTTGAAAAGTCTTTGCTACTAGGACCCAGGAGAACACTTTCATTTTTATATACACTATTGCCTTTATCATTGTGCTTACAATGTACAGTAGCATCTTCACTTTCTTTCAAAAGTCTGGAGTAACCTGTCCTTCCATGGTGCTCATAAGAAACACCATGGAAAATGTCAGAAGGTGATGGAGAGTCTACAGAAGGCTGCAAGGGGGCGTGGCCTTCCCCTTCATCAGATCCCACTTCTTCACATTCATCTACCGAGAGCAACACCGACCTTCGGAACCTTTTAGGTGCAGAAAACTCGCGGCTTTCGTGCTCAGTTCCGTCTTCGAAAGCTAAGTTAACTATTCCCTGAATGTGCTGAGTACCTGAGTTGCATGGGGAGGAATTTTCTCCAGTGTTCTCTGCTTCTGATCGCTCATCTTCTGTTTCATCTGCTGAAGAAGAAACCTGATCCATTTCCTGAGCAAACGAGACACTGCCTCGTGTAGTATTTTCTCTTTCCCTGGGATGGATTATTGTAGATCGAGACCAAATTTCTGGCTTTTTCCTAGGAATCTCATCATCGCTGGTTGAGTTGATTTGGAAAAGGTCACCCTGCTTTTTGACTTTGACTTCAATTCTGAGGTTGGTGTCGTAACCCTTCAGTTCCTCAGGGGTGCTGGTGTCACTGCTGCTCCTTCCGAGGAAGTCAGGGCACAGCATGGTGCCACACTTGGAGATGCCTCGGTCATTGGAGCCCTCATCATCCTGAGAGCCTCCAGCATCATAGTCTTCAGAGCGGGGCTTTATGTCATCGGAGGATGTGGTGGCACTGGCAGTGTCAGACTCGGGGCTCTCTCTCTGATGTGTGGCACTGGTGCTCAAATCCCAGTGACCTATGAAGGGAGCTTCTGGAGTTTCATGGCCCTCTGGGGTTTCTGATGTTTCCATATTTTTATCATTTTTTCCTGATGGTTGTCCCAAAAGACATTTGGAAGAAACAGCTGAGTTGACTGAAGCACATTTATTGTCCTTGGTGGCAGAGTTATCGGGTAACTGGCTTTGAACTGATGATTTTCTTTCATCTTGAAGAGAGTTTAAGGTCCCACCTGTCCCTTCAGGAACACACGGGGAAGCTTCTTTTGCTTTGACACAATTCATACTTGGTTTAGTGTCTGTGTTTTTTTTTCCTGTTTGTTTTTCTCTATCTGAGAATAAACGGACTCTCTCTGCATTTGCAGTGTTTGAATCACAAACTGGATTAGAGTTTGTGGAGTTTTCATTTGGATTTGAAACCGTGTATTTTAGAGCAGTGATGTTAGAGTGATTCGAATTTGCACTGCAGTGATTCGTGTCTTTGTAACTGGATGTGTTACTTTGACCTAAACCAGTTTGTTTTGACTTCAGCTCATGTTTTATTGATTCATCTGGATTTGAACTCTTTTGGCATTCTAATTCTGGTTTCTTTTTCCTGTGACTGTCTAGTGGCTTTTGTGGGTGAGGTCTGCACAGTGACTGGAGAGTACCTGCACCACTGGTCTCAGAAGCAAGCTGAACTAGGGACCCGGGAGGCCTCTGTTTAAAAACATGGTTCTTGTCATTCACATTGGGAAGTATGCATTTCTGTGTGGTGGCTGCTTCCGTTTTGGAAGGTCTTTGAGAAGCCTGAGTTTGTGTCGTAACCTCTCCGGGAAGCACTTTCTGTTTTGAATTTGCATTATTCAAAACTCCACCTTTCTTGGACTGACTTGTGTCTTTAGGTGATGATACCACTTTTGCATTAACCTTCTGCAAAGTTCCATGTCCTTGCTTGACAATTTTTCTCTTAGGTGTTTGTTTATCCGCAGCTGCACTGTGCCTCAGCTTTGTTACGTTTTCATGAGACTGCCTCGAAGACCCTGAAGATTTTACAGAGTGTGGGGACTCTCCGTGGCATCCTAAAAAAAGTTAAGAAATGCAAAGAACTCTCAAATTCTGAGTGAAATTTAATGTTTTTAAATCACTTTAGAGTAAATAAAATAAAGCAACTGAACAGAAATGTCTAATACTGATAGACAAGGCATAATGAACAATAATAAATTAAAAAGACCTATTAATATTTAAAATATTCCAAGATCTTAGTAAAAACCCCTATAGTAGAATCTCTTTTCATCAAGAGTTTTTATCATTATTTCAAAATTGGATTTTCTTTTAATAAAGCAGCAAGAAAGGCCCTCTTTTTGAAGTGTTTTTTTTTGGGGGGGGGGCGGGAATAAAAACAACATAGCTGAAAACAAGAGCTGACCTAAAATAAAATGGACATTTGTGGAAATTGTTAGTTTTTCTTCAAACTGGAATGAACTTATACTAGAGGACTGTAATTGTTACTTATCAGAGGCTAACAACCCAGATCCGCAATGAGAACCAGACTGTCAGATACAGGAAATACAGAATAAAGTTTATTAATTATTCATTAAAAATTCCATTTATGCATTCTGGTTAAAGTCTTAGAAATGAAATTTGGGGCACTCAAATCTGCCAATCCCAATTATCAGCTTCATTTCTGTGTGTGACTGGGGGTGGGGTGGGAGACTAGACTGACCAGGGACTTCTGCCACTGAGCTATCCCAGTCCTATAAAGCCATCTGTGTCTGTACACTAGCTGATACTAGAACATGAATGATTTTATCTGCTTTAGATTTCAGTGGACTTTCAGCACTCATTATTATGCAAATCAAGATTATCTTCCAGATTTTAGAAACTGCTTTTATGCACGAATGCTTAATATACAAAAAGTAACTCTGTGTGTGTGTGTGTGTGTGTGTGTGTGTGTGTGTGTGTGTGTGTGTGTGAGAGAGAGAGAGAGAGAGAGAGAGAGAGAGAGAGAGAGAGAGAGAGAGACTATGTGTGTACATGGCACATGTGTCAATGTCATTTACTCCCCAGGAACTGCATGGTTCCTCTTTTTGAGACAGAGCCTCTTACCAGCACTTGGGGCTGGCCGGCCATCGAGCCTCAGGGATCCACCCGTCTACCCCTGCCTCCCCAGTGCTGAGGCTCCAAGTGTCCTTCCCTCAGCCCCCCTCCTCCCTTCCCCCTATTTGCTTTTGGACAGCATCTCTTGTAGCCCAGGCTGAACTCACTACACTGATCAAGGGTGACCAGCTTGATTTCCCCAAAGGGACGATTACAGGCATGCATCACTAGGCCCAGAAAGAAAGTAATATTTAAAATTGGTTGCTATGTGCAAGTCATGTGACCCAATCAACATTCTTTATTCTTAGAACATTGAAAACCAGCAGCATGGTGACAGGTTCTGCAGGACTCCCCCTGCACACACATTTGCCTAGCTCCTGCTGTCCCTTAAGGACTCTTCAGTGCTGGTTCACAAACAGAATTCCTCTAGTCACCAAGGAAACTTTCAAGAAACCTGGGCATGCTCCACAAAAGGATCAGAAGTACAGATGAGGCCTTTAAATTTCTCTCCATGGAGGACAGAAAAGCCAAATCAATCCCCCAGCACTAAAATATAAACCATAAAACTTTAACAAAGCCGTGCCTATTTTGCTTATCTGTAACTGCAGGTCCAGCCGGATACGACCACGTCCAGACAGAGCCATTGCAGCTTACCTTGGATTTGGGCAAGGGTGGGAGGGGCGCTCTTTGTCCGTGGCTGAGCTGCTGTGTATCCGTTGCTGCTCACTCTTTTCTTCACAGCCGCATGTGGCGCTGGGTCACTAAGTCCTTTGCCACTCACCTTTTTGATTACACTGAGAAAAATGATTGCACTAAGTGAGACTCCAAACCAGGGACTTACAAACACCCTATACAACCATAGCTATGTACGACCACATAGTTTGTCAAGAAATAGAAATATATCTCTTTTGAAAATAGATAAAACCTAAGTTCATACACCTCTAAGTTTTGAAAGAGTAGACCACATATGATTAAGACAACACAAACTTCACATGCTAAGTGTAGCTAAGAAACATTTACTACACTGTACCATTTTATATAAATATGAAATTAAGTTTTAGCTAGAAGTTGGTTTATAAACAGCAGAGACATCAGGTGAATGGAGTCCTACCTGCTACTTATGTTAGAGTCTCGTTGATGAGTGCTTTTTTTATGGGATGCTCCATTGATAACTCTTGAGACTGGTCGAGATTTTACAGCTATAAGTTGAGGAGTATCAGCCATGAGAAAGGGGACATTAAAAATAGTAACACATTGGATAAATATACAGGTCAGACACTAAAAATCAAGTGACACACAGAAAAGACCACATTCTCTCTTCTTGCACATATGCATAAAAACACATTTTAGCATTTAAAAGTGATTAGCTCATTCAAGGATTATTCTTTCTAGGAACTAGTAAAAGTTAGGACTTCAGGGTTAGGGTCTATAGCTTGTTTAGCAGAGTGCTTTGCCTAGCACTGGGTTTCACCTCCAGCACCACATAAACCAGGTGTGATGGGACACAACTGTAATTTTGGCACCTATGGCACAGAGACAAAAGTTCAGAATTTCAAGAATGTCATCAGCTACACAGCAAGTCTGAGGCCAGCATTGGCTACTAGAGAGAACCTATCTCAATTTTTTTTTTTTTTTTTTTGCACAAGAGTTGGTGATATAGAGTGTTTTTCTAGCATATATAGGGCCATGGGTTCTCTCTGTCTCTGTCTCTCTCACTCTCTCTACACACACACACACACACACACACAGTTAACAAAATGAGAGAGCTAACCCACTCTCTCTCTCTCTCTCTCTCTCTCTCTCTCTCTCTCTCTCTCTCTCTCTCTCTCTCTCTCTCAGGTGTTAACAAAATGAGAGAGCCAACCCACCGACAGCTGATACTCCATCATTCAGCACCTCTCCTGGAGAGTCACTAAAGTGCGGCTTCTCACCAGGTGACCGGTCTTCCACTGACCCGTTTTCTTTTGGCTCATCTGCATGCCCAGTGGAAGTCAAAAGCTCCATACTCAAATTTGTAGATCTGCCAGCGGGTCCTACAGTAGTAGGGCATGGAGAATCTTTCCTTGTCCCTGTTTTCAAAGGCTTGGCTCTGGCTTGCACATTCAAGTTTGCACCGAGTGCCTTGGGCCTGGCCCCTGTGGTCTGTGCTTCTCGGTTCCTGACTCCTTTTCCTAGCACTGAGTCTTTCTGTCCAGTTGCTGCTGTTTTTGCTGGTCCTCCTGCAGCTTTGGATAGATCCTCCAACTTTGTGTTGTCATTGTTTTCTGTCTGGGCCTTTATTACAGCTTTAGACTTACCAGAAATATTTCCACCCCCAGTTTTCAGTTCTTTTGTAACTCTGGATATTTTTGTACTATCATTATGCTTGAGTGCTTTGTTCACACTGTTTCTGTTAGTGATGGATGTATGTCCTGATGCTCCTAGTCCATCAGATTTCATATTCTGATTAATAGAGAGATATTTTCGATACAGATTTTTGTTATTTTCCATCCAAGGTTTCTTTTTTATAATATCAGCATCAGAGCCTTGTCTCCTTGGCTAAAAAGAAAAAGAAAAAAGAAAAAAATGAGAAAAACTATATAAATTCACAAGTCTGTGATATAGAATACTTTATGTTTCAATAAAGTTTTGGTTCATTTTATCATTGTTACTTATTGAGATAATGTCTCTTGGTGTAGCCCTGGCTGTCCTCAAACTCACAGACCTGCTTCTGCCTCCTGAGTACTGAGACTAAAGGTGTGTACCACAACACCTGGCCAGTGAAGTTTTTAGAAGGAACAATTTAGTAAAGCTCATGTTATACTAGGCAAATGCTCTCCCAGGGAACGATACAGCCCTAGCTTTTAAATTCATATTATGATATAGGATTACTAAAAACTTTAAAAAATCATTTAAAAAAATTTGGGTTTCTAACTATATTACCTTAATCAAATCTGTACAGTATCAAATGTTTATTTAATTTGTGGTGTTACAGTAGAAGTTAATCCCTGAAGATTCAGGCTATCCTGTGTAAGTAATGCTTGAGGGTTTCTGTAGCCCATTCCCAGGGTCCATCCTAACATTTTTACCCATCATTTTACTTCATCCTCACATAGTAACCCTATGAAATAGCTCCTGTGCCTATCTTCACTTGTCAGATAAGAAACTGGGTATTAAACTAGACATGTGACTTACCCAAGGCTACATGTCTGGAAAGGACAGAATTGGGACTTGAGCTCATGATTTTTTGCTTTAAGGATGTAGTCATCTAAAATGGTATAATCTGAGGGACATTATAAAAATTTTCACCATAAATTTTTCAACTCAAACGCCAGAAACTTCCTCATTAAGCATTCAGTCCTCTGCATTAAGAATAATTTACTTTGGGGAGTCTTCATTAAAGCAACAAGACAAACGCTTCTACAAACACATACAGCTGGAAAGCTGAGGTTTAAAAAAACCCTAGATGTAGTACATTACTGGCTACCTGGAATCTGTGGAGGGAAAGACATTCCAGAAAAAGCTGAAAAGGAGGAAACAGGAGGGCAGAGCAGACTCCTCAACCACTCTCTGACCTCATCTTGATAAGACAGGGGACAGCAACAACCACAGAGGTGGCAGGAATTCTAGAATAAAGTGTTGTAAATACATCAGCACATGTAAAAAGTGTTGTTGTTTTCCCCTTGGCAAAGCTGAATGGAACTGTAGGGCAGGGCTTATACTGTCTTCCTCCTTCACATTCCACAACATACTGGGTTTGTGTGTGTGTGGGTCCAAGAATGTTTGTAACTACTGTTAAAATAAGCATGTTCTGATATATCATTCAAGGCTTAATTTCTAAATACAAAAAGCCTCTGCATATGAGAAAACTGACTCAGACAACATACATGTGTATGTATGCATGTATGTGTACAGAAAATACTCAGACAACACATGTATATGTATACATGAATGTGTATAAGACAGTAAATAAAGGCTCAGTGTAGGAAAAGGCAAGGTATAGTGATAATGGAATCAGCAGATTGCTGTCCTAGCTTTGGCTGAATGGGCCTGGGATATTTTGAAAATTTTAAGCATATTTTGGCTACATATGTACATCTGTAGCGTGGAGAATTGCTTTCTCCAGAACAGTGTTCCAGGATTCTAACATTCTAACTGCTGTAAACATTTCTTCATTTTCTATTTCTTCACTAAGTCTTAACTTGAAACATTCTCTCTCTCTCTCTCTCTCTCTCTCTCTCTCTCTCTCTCTCTCTCTCTCTCTCTTTCTCTCTCCCTCCCTCCCTCCCTCTCTTGAAACCCTTTCAAGACAGGGTTTCACTGTGTAGGCCTGGCTGTCCAGAAACTCGCTCTGTAGACCAGTTGACCTCCAATTCACAGAGATCCGCCTGCCTCTGCCTCCCTAGTGCTGGGATTTCAGACATGTGCCACCATGCCTGGCCTAATTTATCACACTTTGCCGTAAGGCCTCTCCCCTATGCTTAAAACTGACCCCACTTATACCCTTATCTCTGTGTACTTTAAACTGCTATGCTGTGGGTAAATTTATATATTATATGAGATAAATATATCCTTTAGAAATTCCACATTAATACCATACAGCACAAAGATTTGGTACATATGCATTTCTAGGCAGCCTTAGACTTACATCTGCAAAGTTTATATATGTATTTTTATAAATGCACAGCCAGCTGGAGGTGGTCAACACATTCTATTAACAAGAATGAAAAACAAGGATCAGTGCTCTACAAGGAACCCCACACCTTCCTTCCACATCTTTTCTATTTTAGTGGTGCTTCTTTAGTGGTGAGACAGGTTTTTCTATAGAGTCTAGTTAGCCTTGAGCTCACAATCCTCCTGCCTCAGTCTCCCTAGTATTGGGATCACTGATGTATACCACCATGCCCAGCTTATAAATGTGAACAAGAGAGAACAGTATAATGACTCAACATGTATATAATAGCTACCAATTCATCGCCACTTTTGTTTTGTTTGTACCCACCCCCATTTTATTGAAACAAGCAGCAACAATTAAAATGTGTTGTTTTGCTGGCTCAGCAGCAGGAAGGCCCAGCACCCACGGGGTAGATTTCCAGCACCACACACACACACACAAAACCAAACCCAAAAAAACCAAACCCAGTCAAGGAAGCAGGGGAAAAGCAGACAAACAAACAAACAAGAGCAGGGTGTTAGGAGTCACAGAGCACACTTTGCAGGACTAAGAGGAGTCCATAGTTTCCATGCTCATGTAACTGGAAATGTTAGGTGAGAAGGAGTTCAAAAGTGTTTTTCATGTCTTTTTTGTTTCATTTAAAGGCTGGCTTCAGGGCTGGGATTTCAGGAGTGCAGGAGCACTCTTGGCCTCTAAGGGGGCTCAGGATGTGACATGTGACACACACCAGACTATGAAACACTCTTTAGAAAGCAATCCCAGGAGGTTTGTTGACAAAGAACTTGTGGTCCAAGCTTCCAGTCAGAGATTTTACGGCCTGCCTTAGCCAAGAGGTTTATGTCATGGCTGCAGAAGTTGTAGTTCCTACCTAGTGGGTTATAAGGAAGAAAACAGGATTCCCTACCTAATTTTCAAGGACACTATGTTTTTTACATTCTAAATTAAAGTGCTGAATGAACGAGTCCATATTATCATTGGAATATGCATAGAATAATGTACTTACATATTTTACTGATTACAAGAATATCTTCTTTAGAAAGAAGAAAAATACATTTCAGGTTATAGTAAAATAGTTTTAAAAAGGAAAAATAGGAAAATTGCCATTTTAATGTTTTTTAAGAATAGAGTGCAGTCATGTTACTCTATGACTTTATTACCCAGTGAATCTCTAGAACCTTGCCATATTATATTCACTGGAAGACAGTCTAAAAACAGACCTCAAACAGGATCACAAATGTCTAAACAGCTCCTGGTTTATTGGAACAGCTCCAATATGTTATTTGCCAAAAAAAATTTCAAGGAAATGAAAAAGGCATATATTTCCTATACCAAAGGAATATTAGAATTTTACATCATTTAAAATGTATATACTAAGTGCTAAGTTGATTTTTAAGACTCAAAATTACTTCCTCTTAAAAAGCTTTACTTAACAAAAGATTTATTTTGAAATATAAATAATGAGTTTAAATAGCTTTCTCCTTGGGACCTGTGCAACGCAGGACATTTACCTGGGAGCTGGTAAGCACAGGCTTCCTGCCAAGTCTTCGATCATCACCTTTGTCAAATGCAGCTGTGGAAAAAACCGAGCAATTTATTTCTATCAGAAACATTATTATTACCAGAGAAGTCCAGGAAAAACAGAAATCCAGGAGAAAATGTTAGATTTTGACAGATATTAAAAAAACCAAACAAACTTGAAAGCAAACTAGTATATAATTTATTATCATATTTTAGAATAAAGAACCTATTCTTTAATCTTATTCTTTGGTCCAGAAAATTTTATGTTTTTAAAGTTAATAAATGAAAATGTAAAATCACATACATTCATTTAAAAAAAAATCCAGAATTTTCACAAGCTATAAATTTTTAAATAACTGGTTTCATTTAGTTTCTAAATTTTAAAAATAATATTTTACACATAATTTAATACTCAACACCCTAAAAATACTCTGCTGAAACACGAAATATCTTCTGGCTTTACAGACTGACTACAATGGTGGAAAGAGAAGAGAAGCATATGCAGGTTCTCCTGAGAACACAGCAGGAGACAACCCTGAAATTCACCCCATTCTCTCTGGCACTAAACATTCACTTTTTAAGTAAAGTTTATGTGGGAATTATTGGGAGACTCATTTTTACACTCTTAAAACAAGAACTTGAATGACACTAGGAAAAGATGCAGAAATTAGGTGATTCGAGGGTTAAAGTTCAGTTTAGATTTTCAAGGTTTACAGGGCTTGAGGTTTTGCTTTGAATGAATGCATTGGCACACATAATTTCTCCAATGTGTTTTATTTTTAGTAACAGCTATCAAGCATCTTCTACAATTTCAGTTCCACGGGATGCATGCTACACAACAAAGCAAAGACAGATCTGCAGCAATCAAATCATTGCACAATAATACACAGAATTAATAAAAACTCTCCTCAAATCAGTAACTCAGCAAGAACACAAGGATGCTAGAGCAAGGGCGACCCACGACAGTAATCGTGCAGAGTCAGGGTTCACTACACCTCAACCCATTTAAAACCGAAGATCACCCTGATGCGACCTAACAAAACAAGAGGTTCATATGACAATTAACTGCATTACCACTGACAAGACAATGTATAATTAGTACTACAAAAGGTTAAAGAACACTGAAATTCAACTTGATCGTGAAATCCCCTAAAAAAGAGAAGAACAAAGTTTGCTACCGTTCAGAAGTGAGCTCAAAGGACACCCACTGAAGGGATGCTGCTCTTTGCTTCTTCTCTTGCAGAATTTGAAAGAAAAGCTAGTGTCTAAAATTCAGCACAGAAAAGTCACAAGGAAAAAAGTGTTCAATTTATAAAGGCTTGATGGCTTTTATTACATAAGAAAGAAATATCTTTGAAAATTGCTCTTTAAATTATATCTAGTTGCTTTAGCAAGTAGGTGTCACCATGATTATATCACTTAAGAATTTAATATAGCTGACATGTATTTTACCATATGTGGTCTCCATGTTTCACAGTACTAAAATGTCTGTTCCATAAAATACAGTCTTTTAGCTTAATGTAATAAAAAAAAATGTAGAGCTGATGAACATGCCAGTGTTATTTTTGAGGCACCTGCTTTAGCCTAAAAATAGTCATGAAGCCATTTTAGTTCCACACCCTCAAAATTCTATTTCAATATTTTTAAAAAACACACACTTTCTGATAGATACACATCTTTTGTTTGACGATAATGTTTCAAACAGGACCTAGTAAATGTCAGAGATCACTGTGCGGCTCCCGAGGGGCCCTCCGCAGTGGCTCACACTGCATGCTGGAACCAGTCACTCGTGAAATAAAGCCATCTAATCTCAGCAAAACCACAAGGAAAGGCTCCTGTGAAAGAGATGGGAAGCTTTGGGACAAAATACATTTTCACAGGGGAGAGTATGCTTGGCGATAGGACTGTACAGATTACATCTTTTTATACAACTATGCTCTTCACAAGGACTGTTTTTTCTTTTTAGAAAATTTGGCTAGAATATTGTAGCTCATATATATGAGGATTAAAAATTGCTAATTACTTCCAAAGGAAATGAATTCTGTTTTCTAAGAACACCAGATAAAGCATGATTTCTCCAAGCAGCCTAACACATCATCACTAGTTTTGCGTAGCACTCCATTACTGAACAGAAGCTCACAAATGCTAATTAACGAGGGTTCAGAAAGCCTTCAATAATGTCTGTTCTCACAAAGGTCACAGCACAAGAATGGAAAACTCTGAAGAGTAACATACCTGCTTGGATTTTCTGCTGATCACCGATGTGCATCTGTCCCCAGCTCTCTGTGTGGCGGACAGCATAGAAAGACTGAACCAGGAAGGTCCACAGTTTGTCACGCACGGCTTGGATCTTGCACGTAAAGCCCTGTGTTCCAGCAACAAATCAGCAGCTGGTGAGAGCCACATTGTCATAGCAACCAGTCATTATTCCTTTCCGAATCTACTTACTCCTAAGCTACGTCATCATTTACATTGCTAAGATTATCGAGTACAAGCTATTTATGAAGGCTTACTCATTAACAGAATTTTATAGTGAACAGGAAGTTAATGCTACTCTTTAATCCAAACATGATTTTAAAACAACAATGGGCTTTTTATGAACACTTTCTGCAACCTTTCATATCAACTATGACATGGCAAGGTCAAATACTCTATGTAAGAGTAATAAATTTGATGAAATATTTTATCATTCGTATAGAAAAATACTAATAATTATCTATTGTCACTGATTAATTGCATTTAAAAATAAGTGATATTTAAATTTTCATTGTTTCTTCTCAAGCTAATTTAAAAATAAGATTTGTTTTGAGAAAAAGGAATTACTAATACCATAAAATAAAAGGCACTCATGATGAAAAATACTAAAATATACATTATATATGTTTATTGTAATTATTAGAGAAAAATATCAAAATTACATTGTGCCAGAAAATTGCTATATCCCAAGCTGTGCTCAGAGTTAAGGAGCCAAACTGCTTAATTCTAAACTTTTATAAAAAGTTAATTTGAAAGAAAACATAATTGAAAAAATTTTATTAGGAAATATTCCAAATAGATACAAGAAACTGCATCAAGTCCGAAGGCACCCAGTACCTAATTACAATGACCTCTGCAACATTTAAACTGCATGTGCAATTTAAGATCCCAAACCATTTACAATATTACATATTTTAATGAATCTTGTTACATTCAGTACCATTTCCTTTGTGCTTTCAGAATTCAGTAATGTGTCCAGAGCCATAAGGAGGGAGCAACTATTTTCAGTGGTAATATTGTCTTCAATTGCTTTAAAAATTTTGTCCAACAGATGAGCTGTGCTGCTCATTGCTTGTGACTACAAAACACAGAATTTGACATTTAATGAAATATATGTAAAATATACAAGAAATGCTAAAGTCTGGTGTAATAGCAGTACAAATGTCACAGCTCCACACATAACATCACTGAAAACACATCTGCTTTCCTTTTTCTGTTCAAAAACTCCATGAGCATGAGTGCCTCTGCTGGCATGCACATGCAGATGCACACACACACACACACACACACACACACACACACACACACACACACACACACACACAGTTTTCAGGAGCTAATATAGTCTTAGAACCTACAAATAAAGACTACATCTTTATTCATTGACTAATTTTAGAAAAAGTAGTTTCTTATGAAAACGAGTTTTAGAGAACCATCATCGTTACAACGTGGGTGTAAATTTAAAATGTGGCCATGGTGACAGAGGAATAGAGCTGGCCCAATGACAATGTGTCTTGCCAGGGCACTCAGACCTGTCCCTCCGGCTTTTCTCATCTGTGAGCCAAAAATCCTGTCCACCACTGCTCCAAATCTGTTGCAAACATGCCATCTGCTGTGGCATTTACTCGTTAGAATATTTTAATCAAAGGCAACCTGACTTTAAAAATGCTTATGTAATTAACACCAGAACACCAAGATGGGACTAAGCAGAGCACACGGTAGATACGGCACCTGTAAGAGCAGAGTAAAATTTTCAGTCTCAATGGTCTTTGAGAAGTTTTCTACAATAAATGCCACACACTCTTCTTGCAGCTGAGATGCCATGGACAATGCCGCTTCTGTCCACTTTACTCTCGGTAAACCCATGATTAGCCTGTCACTTTCCATCAGAAGCAAAGCAGCATTCCTATGATTCTAGAATTTGAAAACATTTGGAAAAATTAGGTGGTGTTACTATTCATCAAATGACTTTGTAAGGAAATCAAATCTTTTCAATTTCTTGGGTTGTTTCCTGTAAAGAAAGAAAAAGAAAAAAGAAAACACAGTTGCTGGTAGCTATTACCTTTTCGATATCTACAGAGGACTATGTAGAGTGGGCCCAGCAGCAGCTCAGCCAACAGCTCCTTGCAGCAATAGGAGCCATCTTAGAAAATATCAGCCAAGGGTCAGCCAAGCAACCCCCACCACTCTAGAAATAACAAGTTATAGTTTTATGCCGTTTAGTTGTGAGATGGGTTTCTCACACAGCAATGACATGGAAGATGGAGTACTTAGCACGGATGCTGGGCGTTCTTTAAGTACTGAGAACTTGACCACAGCAATGTCTTCCCTGATCCTTACACTGTTACTACGTTCTTTTTGTCCGCACTATCAAAGAACCTACCCCTTTTCTTTAAAGCACTTAATTCAAATACAATTATTCAACTATGAGCATAACATATATACTGTATGTCCAACATCTGGTTCTGTTCACTACTGTACTGTGGACCTATTACAGAACTGGGTCAATACAAAACTCTATGCTCATTAGGGTTTATTATTCTTAGACTTCAACAGGATCCCCAAGTCACCTACTCCAAGGCTCAGGGTACATCACTGAAGAGGGGGTAGGAAGAATATAACAGCTGCATGACATGCCATGGCACTCATGGATTCACAGCATCTATGGCTGCTTGCAAACAGCCAACACAAAGCTGGACCCATAAATATTCAGTCTTTGACAGGGGAAGAGGTTCAGAGGCTGCTGGAAGAGAGGAAGTCATTGTCTTCATTGAGTTACTCATGCTTCAGGACCATGGCCACACAGGCAACTCTGAGTAAACCCAGTGGGTTGTCAGGTAAAAACAAAAACAAAACAAAAGGACATGAAAATGAGGATGAGGGCAAATGGGAGGTGGGGTATGGATATGATATGAATGTACTATATGCTTGTTTGAAAACTGTCAAGAAGTTAACAAAATAAATACAGGCATAGTTCCCAATGTTTTGTTATGCAGTAATGAGTTACTTACATATGACAATATTTTATGTATGTGTAAATAGAGGTACAGAATACATTCCTAGAAATAGAATTGATGGGTTATAGAGTTGATGTCTTGGATTCTACTAAAGACTGAGAACTAGATCACCAGGAAATGACCTCAAGGTCATTTGAACTATGATGAGGAAAGCCAGACACATTTACTAGCTACTAACTAGTTACTCAGTGTGTGACCCATGGCACTGTATTATCCAGAGCTTGTTAGAAACACAGAATCCCGGATTTTCCTTTGACTTAGTGAGTTAAAGTCCACACCTAAAATCTGTAAGTGCTTTTTAATGGACTTAGGGTTTGAGAAGCACTGGTATAGTGTTGCTGGTCCTAACCCGCTCCCTCAGGGGAAGGGGTGAGAAGTCAGGTGAAAGGAAACAGCAGACTTGCTTATTTAGCAATGGATACAAATTTATACACCCTCCTAGCACCCAGGTGTTCTCTGATCCATTGACTTTTCGTGGTTGCCCCTCATTGGTTGGGTAGGACCAGGACCACTGACAGCAACTGTCAAACTCCATCCAGGTTGGCTCATCTCTCAGCCTGGTAGGCCTTAACTTCCTGTAGTACGGTCTACTGTGAAAGTGACTTGTACTCACCTCTGTTGGGACTTTCTGAAAAATCTTTTACCTTGGGGCACAGCAGAAAGAGTCAACAAAACAAACACAACGAAACAAAAGAACAGTTCTCAGCATCTCCTGGAGACAGAAGTGGAATGGGAATCTGAAGTCCTAATTTTGATGAAGGTTTTGCCTGTCAACCTAAGCCTTCTCTGAGTGACAATGGGTTCTAGCATACCCTAGTCAACTGAGGGCCAGTAAGAGCACAGAGCTCTTACTGTATTAGCTAGCATTAGCTAGCTTACATAGTCACCACAGGCTCTCTTGGCTCAGTGTGGAGCAAGCATGGAAGAAGCTGGACAGTATCCAGTGACCCAACGTTTCAGGAGTGATGTCAGACTCAGACTGACTCAGAGCACAAATGAAAGTTAGCACAGACTACATGCCTAGGACGCTCCAAGACCAAGGAAACAGACTAGCAAGAAGACGAGAAGATCACAATGCCACTTGGTGGGCTGAAAAGTCTCTTCAGCAGGAGCTCACTTCATGAAGACCCGAAAAGGTGGCGGTTTTTAAGTAAGTTCTACATAAAGAAGCAAGGAAGGTCTCCAGAAACCAATCTAAGTTAAGAACAGGCATCTGAGGGATACTGAAGTCAGTTCCAGACTACAGACAGAGTGCACATCATGACAAAGCAAGTCACACCCTGTAAGGTATGACTGTCCTCCTACCTCACAGTAAAAAGAGTCTAATGAACTTTTGTTCTGAAGAACATGGAGTTTATACTACAGTGCATTCTGTCAAGTCCACAATGGCATCACACCTAAAGAAATGCACCCATCCTAACGTCTGCACTGCTGAAGTGCTGCTGAGACTTTGGTGTGTCAGAATCTGTTCTGGTAGGACCTTGTCTCAATGCAGATGGTATTGATGAAGACTGGGGAGACTGCTAAGTTCTTAAAATAATATGAAAATGAAGTTTGCTACACTAGTCTTTCCTTCCAAGAGATTTTTCTGTAGAATGTGATGCTGTTTTACCTGCAGAGACTTTACATTTAATAACAGAACTTTTATCTTTGACTCAATACTCTCAAACCTTGGGAGAAAGAATTAGCATCTCATGGGGATGAATCCCCCACTTGGTTATCCAATCAAAAGTGGTCAGCCCTGAAATCATATATACAAATATACACACTAAATGGACTCACAGGTTGTATTTATATATTTACGCACTTATGCATTTCTCCTCCCTCCTCGTGTATGTGTGTGTGTGACAATAATAAACAAAGCCATCAATTTAAGGAGGAATGACGGATAGTGGGCACTGGAGTAGTAAGGAGGAGGAAACATGGGTGAGGCTAGGAAGAGAGAAGAGGGGAGTGAGGCAATTATATTTTAATTAAAAAAATTAAGAAATGAAACACTCTGCCCCTTTCTTACCAACTACATTTATGTCACATTTGAATACTGTGTCATTTCAACACTCTTCACAGCATCTTAAGGTAGACTCTACCTTAAGAACTGACTTTCAGAGCTGGGCATGGTGGTACACACCTTTAATCCCAACCCTCGTGAGTCAGAGGCAGGCAGGTCTCTGAGTTTGAAGCCAGCCTGGTCTACATAAAGAAAAGTTCCAGGACAGCCAGGGCTACACAGAAAAACCCTGTCTCGAAATGCGCCCCCCCAACCCCCCTCCCCCGGCCCAGTTTTCTTTGCTCATCTTAAAAATAAGCTACTCATTTATTAAAGTAGTCTCGTGAGATTGTAGCAATTCAGTCACTTCTCTAGACTTGACTTCTCATTTCACATTTATTATTTCTACCACATCTTCATTTATTTCCTTCACTGAGTTTTAAATCCTCCAAATCATCCAACCGAGAGGACTAGAACATGTTTCTTCCAAATGTCTGCTAAATCTGTGTGTGTGAAAGTGTGTATATGATACATTCAGGTATATGTGCACAACAAATCTTTAAAAAACAACAAAAAAGATAAGCAGCAATGAGTACATTAAAAAAAAAAAACAGTGGTGTGCAGAGATTACAGGTAGGTGCCCCCTTACCCAGCTTCCTCATGTGGGTTTGGGAATCAAATTCAGGTCTTCATAAATTATGTGGCAAACATTTTACTAACTGAGCCATGTCCCCAGGCCCCTGAGTACTCTTAATGGCATCTAGAATGAGAAATGATTTCCGAGAATGTTTCAGTGTCCTTTGCCCAGCCAGATGCATTGGAGGAATCGTTATGTGTGGCAGGCATGGTCTTACAAACCACACTTCTTAAATAATACAACTGGAAAATAGAAATTACTCTTTGATTCCTGGACCACAGAATGGATACCAGGAATGGATAATATTTTAGCAAGCATAAAAATATTAATCCATCACAAGTCTCCATGAGATCTTTTGCGTGCACAAATACCAAGTACACAGTCAACAAGTAGTATTAGGAAAGAACTCTTTTCCTTCTTTCTTGAGGAAGACTTCTCTACAGTGAATTTAAAATATTCATCAAGGGGACTGGAGAGATGGCTCAGAGGTTAAGAGCACTGACTGCTCTTCCAGAGGTCCTGAGTTCAATTCTCAGCAACCACATGGTGACTCACAACCATTAACGAGATCTGGTGCCCTCTTCCAGCCTGCAGGCATACATGCAGACAGAACATTGTATACACAGTAAGTAAAATCTTAAAAGAAAAAAGAAAAATAAAAAAAATATTCATCAAGTTATGCTCTGAACAGACACCACCTCAGACTCTGTTGCTCCATTTACAGAGTGCAGGCAGCATGGGTCTGGTATAATTCTTAAGGGCCCCCAAATTTCCAGAATGGTAAACACAGGCCTCAGTTATAGTCATGAGAATGTGAGCCCCTGGCATGAGAATCATCGAGTCATTTGATGCTTGGGAAGCCAGGGTTTGACTTCTTTGTAGCTGTGAATTCCAGATGATATCTTCTTCCGTTACAAAGCTGTCTAATTTGCACTGACAACTCTGTTCGTGTGGTCACCGATCAAGCAGCTTAGCTAGGTCTTTTGGGTAATTTCCTGATGAGGCTGTAGCTGTTTTGCTTTCTTGTGTCCTGTGTGCTTACCACAGCATTTTAAATGTCCTTTGCCAACTTTTCCTTTCTGCCCACAACTTTGCTACCTGGTCCCACAGGCCTAGGTTTCAGTTCATCTTTTGTTGTTATTTGGATTTTGTTTCTGAGCTAGCATCTAGAGCTGCAGGTGTGCCCTGAAGACTAGACAGCACAGTTATAGTTTTCCTTGTTTACCCGTCTCAGAAAAGAAACTCACTAAAGGAATGTAAAGTGTAAAAGGTTGAGAGACATTAAAAGATAATTTGATAATGCAAATTAGAAAGTAAATTAGGTACAAGACTTTGGACTCACCAAGACAGATAGATAATGGAGTATTTTCTCTGAATTTGTCAAATGCAAACAGACTACATATTGTTGATGTACCTATTGCCTGAATATATGGTATATATACTTACTGTATATAGTTTTTCTTATGTTAGTTGCAGCCTTCTTTTTGTATTATACAAAAAGGGGAATTGTGATATATAGTTTATGATTTATTAAAGTTTACCTGAGGATTCAGAAAGCAAAGTCAGCATCAAGCTATAGAGATCTGGCAGTGGTGGCGCACACCTTTAATCCCAGGACTCAGGAGACAAAGGCAGATGGATCTCTGTGAGTTCAAGGCCACCCAGGGCTACAGATATTGAATCAGTCTAAAATAGTAACAGAGCTCACACCTTTAATCCCAGCAGTAGAGAGATTTAAAAGATAGGAGCAGGGTCTTCAGTAGTCAGTCAGTCTTAGGATTCTCCAGTCACATTGAGAGCATACAGTCTGGGATTGCAGTCTGAGGTTTGGTGGAGCCAGGATAGCCTTTCAGCCTGAGGTAGAAGTAATAGCTAGTGGCCAGCTGGTTTGCTTTTCTGGTCTTTAGCTTGAAACTTGAACCCCAATATGTCTCTGGGTCTGGTTTTTTATTGGGGGGGTTCAAGGCAGGGTTTCTCTATGACTTTGGAGGCTGTCCTGGAACTTGCTCTTATAGACCAGGTTGGTCTTGAACTCACAGAGACCTGCCTGACTCTGCCTCCCGAGTGCTGGGATTAAAGGTATGCGTCACTACTCCCCAGCTGCTAACCCTTTTCTTAAAAGAGAAAATAAACATCAAGTCTGAGTTGATGCCATGTGTGATACTCCTTACTTTTCAAATAGACTCAGTTCTCAGGGTCTATTAACAAACACGAGGTACAAAGTGAACTGGTACCGGCATGTCTCAGACCTAGGGCAGCGAGGACACAGTTAAGTTAGAATGTCTGACTCTAGTAAGACAGACAGACAGACAGACAGACAGACAAGGCTGTGAGTACTGCACATGTGTCCTAGCTACTGTTCATTCCCGGGACGGCCACGTCTTTTCTGCTTTATAGTCACCTCCTTCATTCCTGATTCCACATTGCTTTTGGTTTCAGTAGCTGCCTCTACTGTGTGTGGCTCCTAATCTGGCAGAGTGAGCCAGACCTTCATTGCTAAAAATCCTGGGCCCTTACTGTCACTGCTCAGAAACTGTCACTGTTTCCTATTGATATCATGCATAGAACCTGGGTGTACTGCATTCCAGATGTGTCTAGATGTAGTTTTTATTATCCACACCGGAGCGTGGCAGCCCAATCTCTCCTACATGGATTTATAAACCAGCTAGAGGAAGGCTGTCTCAACTGCCAAGTAAGTAGAAACTCTGCTGTATGTATTCCCGATGGAAGCATTCTTTTCTCTGGTACTAAGGTCTCTAGACCAGCAGAATCCAAAGTTGCAGAGAAGACAGTCACAATTTTGCTAATGGTTCACTAGGAGCAATTCTATGTGGGGCCATTCCCACCTCCCAATCTTGTTTTCTGGACACAGGAATTTTTACTACTAGAGAAACAGCACCTTAAATCCAAAGCTGACGTAATACACACTGTATCTTGGAGACACAATGTCAACCTGGGAAGGAAGGCACTGCCACCTAGCTGGCACTGTAACGTATCTTCTAAAGGCGTCCATTATTCTATAAGACTAGTAGTTTCAGGGTAATAGGGAATTTCTTAAATTCAATGAATTACACAAGCATGAGCCCATTGTTTCTCCTTTCTGTGATGTGAATTTCTTAGTCACTGTTTGTACTGTGTAGAATACGAAGATTATAGACAGGGAAGTCTGTATGTTCAAGGATCTCAGTTTTAGCAGAAACAGCGAGCTAGGAAGGTAAATCCTTGTTCAGAGGGAACATCCATCCCAGTAAAAACCAATTTAACTCTTCCATGAGTGATTCTAGTAAAAAACAATGTATCTCTTCCATGTAAACACCTGCCATCGGATGAAGTGAATCCCTTGGAAAGTGATGCCCCTGAGAAAGTTCAGGGTTGTGGTCAGAATCACCCTGGTGATGTCAGTTTCCCTGTGGATGCACACTCTCCATTTCTGGAGCCCTTCTGTTAATGACCATCTGGCTTACAGCAGCTCAGCCTGTCTGATGGAAGCACTTGAGAGTGCCTTCACTAGAATAGGTCTCGGGGCTGGGATCTCCACTTTGGCCCTGAGTTATCTGAACTGTGATTCTCATCTTGCTCTCATAGAAACATTGACATTCAAGTCCTGCACTCGAGTCATTGACTAAAGGTTCTGCTGGCACATAGGAAGCATTTGGACTGTACTCACTAGGGACTGGATCAGCATTCGGAGACAAGTTTTCTGAAGTTCATGAGGTACATTTGCAAAGCTTCTTTCTGACCAAAACCTTGCAAAATGGCTTATAATCCAGCTATTAAAATAAAAGAATCCAAGTTAGTGTGATGAAAAAATTTAAAAGTTTTCAATCATATATAAACCACATATCGTGACCAACCCTCACTTAATTTTATGGTCTTTAAGATGGACTTAACTATATTCACTTTCAGAAATGTAACAGGCAGGAGGCCACCATGCTCACAGATAAACACTGGCAAAAACCAGTGTTAATCACACAGGGCTGTCTCCTCAATGGAGGAAATAAAAGACCTGCTTCCACACAGAAAGCTCAGAGTGGATGTTAATAATGACCTGGTGACCTTTGCTATATCTAGAGCCAGACCTCACCCAAATTCCTCAGAAAAATGTCTATCGCAGACTCTCCTTCCTTAGACCTTTATCTTCAGCTCCTAGGTTACAGAACCCACCCTTCGTGGTCACATGTACTTTGTAAAGGAGTTTCAAGTAGTCACACCTTCAGCTTTATTGTGCTCCTAGAACTGGACTGATTCCTGCCTAGAAACTCTTTTCCAAATAGTACTGTGTTTAAATATGCTTACGATAAACTGCCTGGGACTAACTCCCTAAGTTTGATCCAGACCAACTAAATTAGGCCGAACAGAGTTTTCATTCTCACCTCTTCGTGATTCGTTTCTCTGCCTGCCATGAGGCTTGAAGGGGCTCCCACACAGAAACACATAGTTAAACCCATGCTGGTTATGTGCACATTTTTACATAGCCATGGGTCATCTTCAATGAAACTGACCCCATACGTCTTAAGTAACATCTAAAACCACACTTCTCAATTGGGACAGTTAGTTTAGCACTTGAACTGTGTTGGAAAAAAAAAAAAGACCAAGACTAAAACTGCCCACAAATGCACTTACACACACACACACACACACACACACACACACACACACAGTGGCACAGCATAAGGTAACTTACTTCATGCAGTCAGCAAAAAGACTTTCCACTCCAACTGAATGAGCAATAATTAGGCATTCTAGAATCGATGACAATGTTCTGGGAACGGGCTAAAATTGACAGAAAATAATCACATTCAGTCTTTTTAAATTACAGAGGCTGAAAGTATTTGGTTCATAAAATGTGATTTATATACTTAAACTATAGAATAAATACATAGAATTCAAAATTGATTAGTTGGAAATTTCACTTTCTGGAGATCATTATGTAAAATTAAACAATCCAGACTCAGAACAATAATACATGCTTTTTCTCACATGCAGATGTAATTTTAAATTCACACACATCTGTGTGTACGAGTGTTTCTGTAGGACATCAACATTGAAAGGGCACTATGAGAAAGAATGAGAAGGTCTAAAGGAGGGCAGCAAGGGTCAAGCAACCATAATGGGATGTGTATGGCATAAAAGCACTGATGTCAGGGCTCCGTGGGTTCCTATTGATCCCTATTAACACATGCAGGCACGTCAAAGCCACCAGGCTCCTCTGGGCTGCAAACCCCATTCCACCCTCCACTGCTCCCCCAAACATCCAGGCTTTACCCATTTACAACTTTCTCCTCACCAGAGCTACCTTATAACTAGCAATGCTTTCCTTGCCTTTTGCTACCCTGTCTGTCCCAGGGAGGGAGTCATGGCAGCTGTGGGCTCCCCCTAATGAGGGATAGTCATGGATCGGTTTCAAATTTCCAATAAACCTTTCTTTTCACCCAATAGGAGGTCTAGTTAGTTGGTTTCACTGTGCCCTGCCTACAGATAACAATCTGAGCTATCTGAGAAAACCAACACTCATTTGTTACTTGCAATTGTGAGTTTATGGAATACTAAAGAGGATTAATAGACTATCACTACAGTATGCTTTTAAATACTCTTTTTGCTGCTCTAAAAGCAGAACTAAGCTTCTTTAAAAACATTTCCTTCTAATCAGGTCAGTGATCTCAGGCTTTTAAACTATGAACTGCTATTAACTTGGTTTTTCAAGGGTTAAAGTATTACATTAGTGTTTAAGAACTGAATGTAGGGCTTGGGTGTAGCTTGGTTGGTAGTGAGCTTGTCTAAAATCCGTGAAGCCTGGGGTTCAGACACTGGCACCGCATAAACAGGTATGTTAGTGTATGCCTGTAATTCCAGCCCTGAGGAGGGGAAGGCAGACCATTATTCTTTGCTTCATGGTGAGTTTGAGGCCAGACCAGGCTACATAAGACCCTGTTCTCAAAAACTAATAAAAATAAATAACTGAGTGTAAATACTTTGCTTTGTCCATTGATGTTTTTCTTTTTAAATTTTATTTATTCTTAGATCTTTATGTATGTGGATGTTTTGCCTGTGGAGGCCAGAAGATGATGTCAGATCCCCTGGAACTGGAGTTACAGCTGGTTATAACTGCCTTGTGGATGCTGGGAATTGAACCTGGGTCCTCTAGAAGAGCAGCCATTGCTCTTAACCACTGAGTCATTTCTCCAGACCCTTAACGCTTTTCTTAAACAAGATCCTATCAAGTAACTGATACTCTAGGTTTTCCTAAAATCAGAAGTTGCAATCATTACATACATTATTCTATGAAATGAAATGATTTGACTTTCTGATCCACCTCATATAGGACAACAAATCAGTATAACAGAAGGGACTTGCATACACACACTTGATAGCCTGAAAGCACCCAGGTCTGAAAAACCATAAAATGTGCACAAGAGTTAAAAAGTCAAGAAGTTCAATTTTATTTAGGAACAACCAGCCCTATATAACATGAAACCTACTATTTAACATATAACAAGAACAACTTCTATTAATATGATTAAAATAAAAACTACATTCTGATTACTAAGTGTTTTTACAGGTAAATGACTGGTCTCCAGTCATTTTCAGAACCTATTTATGGAATTTGAGAAGACATATTGCAATTGTTGATATAAAATATATATTTTAATTGTAAGAAAAAAATCAGAATGCAAAGCCCACCACAACCCTACTAAGAAAGTCCAAATATGTTTAACTATATAAAATGCTAGATAGCAAATTAATGAAGTGACTAAAACTAGGTTTAGTAGATCTGGGGCCAGCTGCCCATCACATATATACAAATGTGTACTACTATAGAATGTAGTTATTAGAAGTTTATGACATTTAAGTCACTGTGATTCATCAATGAAGTCTAAAGTTACAAATGGTAACATTCAAAACTTCATTTATAAAAATAGATATTAAAGTCTATAAAAGCAGTAATGTTTAAGCATCAGCTTAGCAGAAGCAGGAGTCATCTCAAATACTCAATCACAGCAAGAGTCTACAGTAAGATGCTCCACAGGATGACATGCTAAATAAAGACTTCTCCCAGTGCCTTAATAAAAACAAACATCCCCTTTGTTTTCAGACACTTAAGTGCTAATCTTTTTGTGATTCTTAGTGTGGTGACTGGGTTCTCACATCATTGTGTGAGGTGTGCTGCCCTCAGACCCATTACAGTGTCAGCAAATGATCTGTGCAGTTAAAAAAGAAACATTAAGTGGATTACTGAAAGTGTAATTAACTCATATGCCCCTGAGCATGTTGAGAGGCAACTGTGTGCAAAGATTACTTATAGAAGAGAGTTTTTTGTTGTTGTTTTTGCGAGACAGGGTTTCTCTGTGGCTTTGGAGGCTGTTCTGGAACTAGCTCTTGTAGACCAGGCTGGTCTCGAACTCACAGAGATCCACCTGCCTCTACCAACGCTGTAGATTGTAGACGGATGTAATTGTTTCTTTTCTTTCTTTCCTTTCTTTTTTTTTTTTTTTGTAACTCTTTCTTATGCAGAGTGTTCACAATGTAGACGGATGTAACTGCTTCTTACCCAGAGTTTTACAATGTAGACAGATGTAACTGTTTCTTACACAGAGTGTTTACAGAGTGTTTACAACCTAGACAGGATGTAACGGTTTCTTACACAGCCTGAATTCAGAACTGTACCTGCTCAATACCCCCCTTTCCCACAGAGCGCTGCTTTAATACCACTGCAACATCTGACTCGAGCCTTTCCCTTCCTCTCACAAGCTAAAACAGTGCTAGGGAGATCTACAGTGTGGAGCAGAAAACAATTCCATCTTCCATTCTGGGACTAATTCCTAAAAGGGGCCTGTCATAGCTGTGACCACCTTATAAGATTGAGCAGAAACTAAGATGGGAGGGAACTGTCCTTGACTTTAGTTCAAAGAGATAGAAAAAGTCCTGCCCAACATAAAAATTGATTTGAATGTTAATAAAATAACCAAATTAGAAGTCAGACAATGAGTAATATTGCATCAAGTACCTACAAGAGAAAATATAAACAATTCTTTTAAGAGTTGTTTTTGTTCACTATTAAATAAACACATGCTCAATGAATTATAGAAAATTTACAAATTAAGAAACGGCATAAATACATGAATTAACTTATACTCACAGAGTATATTAAAGAAATGACCAGTTGAAGTATAAAGTACAAAATGGGTTTGAAAGGCACAGTACAGGATCTTTCTTTAGACAGTAAATTTGTTCAAACCAAAACATGTTCAAACCCCCTCAGAAAAGGACTGTCCTCCAACCCAGGGAAATGCTCAAGTGTGGCAGAGGGAAGGTAAATAACCAATAAATCCTTTGTGTGGCTCTGTGAAATGGAGTCAGAAACAGCTTTCCTTTTTCTTGTGTCAAATTCAGCAAGAGTTGGACCTGTACACTCTATTCTGAATTACACAGAATTCTTTATGTACTGTACGGATGTAATAAATGTATAATAATAATAATGATAATAATAATTGTAATAATACTAAATGTAATAAATGTAATAATAATAATAAATAATAATAATAAATGTAATAAATCCCCACATCAATTTGACTTTTCTTAAAACAATGACAGTTAATTTCTCATTTTTACAAATACATCTCATGTTATTTCTCAACACGAGTGTGTATTAGTTAGACTGTGGCATTTTTAAGCATGATTGTGTTCAAAGTCCCACATCGGGTAAGTGATAAAGCTGGTGATGTGATAGATTTAACAATTACCTTCTGAAAGAAGTTACAGTAGTCTCTTCTTAAGATATAGACTGCTACTTCTCTTAATCCTTCCAGGCCATACATGTCAGCCACATTCAGTATCTGACTAAAGTAAACAGATGTCAGCTGATAATTCTCAAATGTAAAAGCAAAGTATAACACACAATGCTTTCTTGATAATACAGCATGCTGTATGTACATAGATCAAAATTGTCAGCATTAACACAGGATTTGCTTTGTGGCAAGGAAGGAGGAAAAATTTGGAGATGTTTCAAATTTCCTTCACATCTCAGTGACACAGAATAAGAGTGCTCTGAAGGCCATACTTTTTTAAAAATTTTATTTTATGTATATGAGTGTTTTGCCTGCATGTATATCTGTATACCACATGCATGCCTGATGCCCTTGAAGGCCAGAGGAGAGCACAGGATCTTCTGAAACTGGGGTTACAATGGGTTGTGAACCTCTGTAAGATCAACAAGTACTCTTAGCCACAGAACCATCTTTCCAGCCTCACACTTTAGATATTCCTCCCAAACAGAATCAAATTAGAGCAAAACACACAATGAAAGTGAGGCCTCTCTACTTCACTGACTCTTTGCAAAATAGTTCAACAAAACAGAACCCATATCACTTTTATGTTTAAACTTACTTTTAAAAAGTAATACATACCCAACATTAGCTTTGTCTGGAAAGTCCAAAGTCCCTCCGTATATAAAATGCATCACAACATTCATTTCTGCATGGGTTATACTGCAAGAAAAAATAACCCTCAAATCCAGAAACAGTTAAGGTTTAAGTAATATCAATAATACACCCTCTTTTCCCATAAACTTGAAGTTCTAACCTCTATTCTTCAAATAACATCATGTAAGTACAACATTAATTTGAAATCAGCAGCCAGGCTAGTCATGGTAGTGCACACTGTTAAATCCGATACTTGGGAGGAAAAGGGAGAGAGATCTCTGAGTCCAAGAACTCTGTCTATGCAGTAAGTTTTCAATCATCCAGGGCTACACAGTGAAACCCTGAATCAAAAAACGAAATGGAGGCTGGAGAGTCAGCTCAGTGGTTAACAGCACAGTTGCTCTTGCAGAGGTCCCGGCTCAGTTCCCAGCATTTACATATTAGTTTACAACCGTCCTTAACTCCAGTTCTAGGGGATCCAACACCCTCTCCTGATCTCCACAGGCACCAGGCACACATGATATCTACATATACACAATATACATACATGTATCTATACAAAACATTCATATATAAAAAATAAAAACAAATCTAAAAAAATTAAAACAAAAAACATTCCTAGCAGCTATGAATTTTTATAGAAGTTTAAAATATTACATGCTTTTGAGTCTTTTTCTTAGTCTTTGAGGATTTCACATAGTATGTTTTAATTTTTACCATATTCTGTCGCATTCCCCCAACTCCTCCAATGTAAGAAAAAAGCTATTAAAAGCCAAGTGCTCGGGAGCATGGGGCCTCCCTGGAGTGTGGTCGATGTGCCCAGCGCCACTCCATTCCCCTTGTCTCAGCAGCTGCCGTTTGTGAAGAGCTTCTTGGGTGGGGTAGGCTTTGTGCTGCAGGCTGGGGTTTTGTCTGTGTGCCTTGTGCATGCTGTCTCTGAGAGTCTGTATATGCATCTGCTCTGCTGTATCTAGAAAATGCTCTTTCTTCAAATCACGGATCACTTCTGACCCTTACAATCTTTCAGTCCCCTCTTCTGCATAGATCTCTGAGCCTTGAGGGAGGGGTGTAATAAGGATACCCCATCCAGGGCTGCCCATTCTTAAGTCTCTCACTCTCTGCATGTTGTCCAGTGGTGGGTCTCTGTAAATTACCACCTTCAAGAATAAGCCTCTCTGATGAGGGTTGAGCAACGTACTGATCTGTAAGTATAGTGATATGCCACAGGGGTCATTTTATTGCTGTGTTAATTTAGCACAGTAATAGTAGTTTTTCTCTTAGGCCCCATAACCTGTCTAGTCTGAGGTTCATTAACAGTATCAGGTAGGAGTTCTACTTCATGGAGTAGGCCTTAAGTGAAATTTTAACATGTTGGTTACTCCCATAACATTCATGCCACTACTGCACTGGTAGGCTCTCTTCCAGGAAGGCCATTATCACAGCTTCCAAGGTTCATAGCTGGGGGAGACTGTGGCTTAATTTTTTTCCCTGGTTGTAGGTTTAGCATCTTTTAGCACTATGATAGCTAGCCAATGGAGGTGAAGATTCCAGTTGAGTGCTAGCTACATGTTTTCCATGTTCTATGCTATATGTTTGCAATAACTTTAGGGATAGGGTCTCACTGTTAAGTTATGGAGGGTAACCAGTAAAACTGGCAATATCCTTTAGTGTCTGGGGAGGGCCTAAGGGACTCCTTTGGCCAAAGACTCAAAAGAGATATAACCCACTCACGGTACTGTGGTTTTTATTTGGTATCATATGGTATTAAGCTGGGATAATTCCTCATTATAGGATGAATCTTTTTAAATCCTTTTATGTATGTATCTGTATTAGGAAGCTTCTATGGTAGTAGGTTTTAATTCAGCTTTTAAAACAGCTTTTAGTGTTACCTATCCCTCCTCCTCATAGTTCGAAGTCTACCCTGTACCTCCCCCCCATTTCTATATTTTCCCTTGTTCTCATTTCCTTGTTATCTCTTTCATGATACCATATTCCATGTTCCCTTAAATCCCTTCTCTCCCCCAGTCCCTTACAAGCTACCTAACCTCTGTGGGTACTCTAAATGAAGCTCACATACTCTAAAGCATAAATGGTAACATTCACACATAAGAGAAAACATACATGTTTGTCTCTCCGGGACTTTTATCATGAAAGGATCTTTGATTTTTTGGCAAAGACTTTTTCTGCATCTTCTTCCAGAATTCTTGAGTTAGAAGGGATTTTAGAAGTTTCTATCCAAATCTTTTATTTATTCAATCCTATCCACTGCTGGGGATGTAGCTCAGTGACAGAGTATGCAAAGCCCCTGGATTCCATTTTCCGAATATATACATGCACACCCAGGCATACCCTCTTCTCAGCACTTTTGATAAACAGCCTCTGGCCTCTGGCCTTACTTAAAATGAACACTTTTATTCACAAGAAGGCTCATTGCTATACATACAAATTTCTTAATTATAACCTGTCAAATGCACTGGCTTGGCTGGTGTCTTGAATTAGATGTAAGAATAAAAACACGGTTCCAGAATTTACATTTGCAGTAACTATATGATTTACTGACTCTTTAGTGATGCCCTCTGCTATGGTTAGAATACAGTTTATCCACTCACAATTCATGTTGAAATCCAATCCCCATTATTGGACATAAAAGATAGAGCTGAGTGTTTCTGACTGTGAATTCATGAGGATTAATGGATTATCTTCAATGCTGGTTTATTATAAAACCTGACTAGGTCTGTGGGTGCCCTTGTCTGAGATACTTTGGGACTCAGCTAGCAACAAAGCAATCATTAGATGTAACTCATCACTCCTGGACCAGAGCAACCCAGTTCGGCAAAGGAGAATATTAATAACCCCCCCCCCTTTACCTTCCTCCCTCCCTTTCTTTTGTTCTTTCTTTTCTCTCCTCTTTCCTCATCTCCTTTTCTATACCACCCTCATTCATTTTGAAGTCAGAATCTCACTATTCAAGTCAGGTTGGCTGCTACTATGTGGCCCAGGCTGGCTTCAAACTGGTGATCCTCCTGCTTCGGCTCAGACTGTCTGTCTCTTTAACTGAAACAGTCTGTGGTATTGTTATTAGCAACAGGAAATAAAGAAAACTTTCTTCCCCTTCTCATCTCAAACTTTCTTTAACTCTATTTTGTTGATAACACGGTTAAGAATTATCTTTCCCAGCCGGGTGGTGGTGATGCACGCCTTTGATCTCAGCACTTGGGAGGCAGAGGCTGGGGGATCTCTGTGCTTTCAAAGCCAGCCTGGTCTTTCCCAAATATACTACTCTGTTACAAAGGGAATCAATTTATCTGGTTGGTAGCAACAGCAATTGATCAGAGAAGTAGAGAGCAAGTATCTACACCCTAAGGAAAGCTGCCTGGGTGGGTGTCAGCTTTGGTGTCAACTTTTCATTTCACCACCTGTTTGAACACAGTTACTTGTCTCTTTTGTATCACTGATAGAATTCCTGTTATCCCAGCCAGTCAGTCATGGTGCTGCTACAGCGCCTGAGTGGACTGACACATGACCTCTATCACTAAATGCTCTCTACTGCCTTTTGTTTCAGAAAATGTCATTTTTTGGGTTCTACTGAACATACACGAAAAGTGATGGCTCTGTGTGTCATTTGTAATTGAGTCCAGTCACCTCGCCTCATAAAATATTACACTTACTCACCCCTGAAGAGTAACACACTCCTGGGAGCTTTCGGCCCAGCAGCCACTCAGCATGGCAGCGAAATAACCAGACCTGGCACTGAGAATGGCCCTGAAGAAAGAAGAGGAGAGCAGGTGAGCATTCAACGTACTGTGCTGTGCACGCACTGTGCTGTGCAAGTGGAGTTCTTATCCAACTTTTCATTTCACCCCCCTGTTTGAACACAATTATTTGTCTTTTTTGTATCACTGATAGAATTCCTGTAACACAAATTATAGACATAGTTATATATATATACATTTTATTTGTATAAAACATTAACTCAAAACCTAGGCTTGTTGGGTGGTGGTGCACACCTTTCATCCCAGCACTTGGGAGGCAGAGGCAGGCAGATCTTAGTGAGTTCAAGGCCACCCTGGTTTACAGAGTGAGTTCTAGGATGGCCAGAACTGTTACACAGAAACCCTGTCTCAAAAAAAAAAAAAAAAAAAAAAAAAAAAAGAAAAAAAGAAAAAGCCAGTTTGATAGCACACACCTGTAATTCTATGCCTAGAAAGCTGAGGCAGGAAAATCAAAATCAGCATGGGCTGCCTCATGAGATCTGTCTCAAAATACAGAACCAACAAACAAGTTGAGTAAAACACTAGTTACAGTACCCTTGTTATACTTAAACACTTTCTCTTAAAAGCTCTTTATATTTATAAGACTAAGAACATAAATAAGCCATTTACAAATGGAGAAATAAAACAAAACAGAAAAGCATAAAGTATGATAAAGGTAGAGACTTTAAAGTATGACTGAGTCTAAATGAACAGATTTCAAGCATTGCAGTTCATGATTCCTTCCTAAAGTGTGGAAAGTCAAGTGGCAAGATTTTTAAATTATGTTTGTGATACCTCTCCCCTGAACTGTATAAACGAAGGGTTAAGTTCTTCACCGGCTCCCTTTTCACCTCAACCCCAGGCCATAGAAATCACCAGTGTCAACAGCACACTGGCTGGCAGAGGTGGTGCAGACCGGTGGATCTCTGTGAGGACAGCCTGGTTGGTCTACAGATTGAGTTCCAGGACTACAATAATCCCACTGAATTTAAATGTGAGTGCCATTCTACTCTGTGTGCTTCATCCCTTTTCCTTTAGGGGATATCAGTCTCAGCAACACACAGTCTGTGAGTGTTTACCCAACAACTAACTGTTTGTTGCAGGGGTTTTTTTTTTTTTTTTTTTTTTTTTTTTTTTGAGAAAAAGAGGTTTCACTGAGTTTTTCGGGTTTATCTTGAACAGGCAGATTGAGATTCGCTGAAAACACTTGGTGACCCTCTTGCCTCAGCCACCAGAGTGCTGGAATTAGATGCGCAACTCATTGAGAAACTCCTCATGACCAAATACCATTAGAATTCTAGAACGTGGACATTTTAAAGAGTGTATCCCTTGACTGTGTAACTCATGTATAGCCTACTAACAGCACTCTGGAAGCTAAACCATATTGATCCCTAGGATAACTTCACACAAGTCATTCTTGCAGTAACTGAGCATAGTGGGGATAACAAAATGCCTTACAATCTCTGGGAGACAGGGGCTTTCTGATGGGTGACTCTGCTTGGACATTTCCACAGACGAGTCCACCCGTAGGGGCTTCTCCAGACATACACAGCAGCCACTGAGTATGCACACAGTCCATTCCCTCATCCAAGGTCAAACCAGCACTGGAGCCCAACTGCCCTCAGGGTTCTCTGGCTTCCTCCCTGTATTCTCTGTGTTCACTGTGCACATTTCCCACAGTCTGATCTGATCCTGTGTCTGCATCACAAGATTTGAACTCTCTCAGCATGCTGGCTCTTTCCAGAGAAAGCATTAAAAGCATCTAAGGCTTAAGTGATTACTCTGACCTCAAAATAGAAACTTAGAAAAGATTCCTTTTTAATTAGGACATCTGCCTCTGGTTAAAAGATGATGCCATGGATGGCACAGCATATTAAGAATCTTTGATGCATCCTTTTTATTTTCCAGCATGTCAAAAACTGTTTTCTTCTTCTGACTAAATTTAATTTCAACTGACAATGCTGCTTCCTCCGGCTCTATCCAGATGCCCTCATTTCCTGCTTGCTGTTGCTTCAATACAACGCTGTTCAGTACTTCCTAATGTTAGCTGAACTAAATTCACTATTCCAGCAGAACAATGGTCTGGAAAGGGCTCTAGGGGAGATGACTTTTAAGTACTCTTGCTTTAAGGGAGGGGGTGGGAAAAAGGAGATCTCCCTGTATTTAGTTCCCATAACCGACTCAGGATCAACCCCAGGACAGCGCAAACTTTCTCTAAAGATGTCACCATTACGCATTCTACTTCCTGACAAATATTCTAGAGAGTATCTTCAGACTGTGGCTTTCGTGGGACTAGCCTTTTTAAGTTAAACTGTAAAGTATAACAAATGTCCTATCTGCCGGCATGACAGCTGATAAATCAAAACCACCAGGATTTTAAAGCAAGCTGCACACACCACAGACACTTTACCTGAGACGAATGTACAGGATGGAGACAGCTGCTCTGTGGTAGGGCTCTGGGTCCACAGCTCTCAAGTGCCCTCACTTACCTTCCTCTATAAGGTCAACCTTTCTTTAAAAATGCCAATTCAATAATTGGGGCCTCTCTTTTCTTGCAAGAATGAAAACATGTATACATCATGATTTCCAGCTCAAATTTCTCTAATTATGAACAAAGGGATTAAACACTGTTAAGTTTATCTGGGTGTGCTACTCGGCTACATCTCAGAACCGCTCTTCCACCTTTACACTGTTCTAACTAAATCCAACAGCAATTTTAAGCACCCCTCCCCTTCCCTAACTATCTTTTCAAAGCATCCGCTTGGATTATCACTGGAATGGATAACTTTTTTATATTTTACATATTGTTAGATTTTATGGTACTCATTAATTTATTAATTTATGCCATCAAATGGACAAATCCAATGAGATGGGTATACTGCGAAAAAACCCAAGTGATCTTTGGAAGGTACAACCATCAGAAGTAAGGTCTCCTGGGCACGTGCGTGCAGTCAGCTGAGTGTGGCCAGCAAGGTCTCCAGAGAGCCTGGGAAGAGCCTCCAGTCTGCACAGATCATTTGTTTCAGGTACCCTTCTGCTTTTAGCTTCCCCTTCACAACCTCAAGGGCTAGTGGGACCAGGGAATTTCACCTCTTTCCCTTTAAGTCTCTCATGTTCACAACCTACCATTAATAAAGTAATTAAAACTTTTGTACAGAATTGTGAAATCTTATAATTATTTCATTGAGTATATATAATTATATCAAATATAAATCCTATAAAGACAGGCGATGGCAAATTTGTTCTGTGAAAAGCCAGACAGTAAATACCTTAGGCTTACATGTTCACCTTGCACCTTTGTCTTGTCTGCTAACTCCTGCAGTGGGGGAGGTGTACCAGACAACACCGCACTTCTCCAGATATCTGGTGTATAGATCAATTAACATTTGCTATCAAAGTGTTATCATATGCCAGCCACATGCAGGTATGCTTGTGTGATTATCTGGCTCAGTTCACACAGACTCTTATTCTACACTATTATTATTACTTTTTAAAAAATAATTTATTTAACTTTATTTTGTGTATTTTGTGTATTTTGTGTATTGGTATGATGGTATCAGATACCCCGGAATTGTAGATACAGACAGTTACAAGCTGCCATGTGGGTGCTGGGAATTGAACCCAGGTCCTCTGGAAAAGCTTAGTGCTCTTAACCACTGAGCCATCTTTCCAGCCCCTTATTATTACTTTTACAAATGAAAAAATTGAGATTCAAGAGATTAAACTTCTCCACTATGAATAAATGCTAAAATGAGAATACAAATTCAGAAAGACCCAACTTACTAAGGCCTACCACTTCCAAAAAAACTTTCAGCTAATGTACCTAAGATGCACGGACAGTGGCCTGGCCCAGAGTAGTATACTGACCTCATGATACTGTACAATTTATTAATCTTAAAGAAGGATTGGACAACATCACAATCCAACAATGAATGTCTAGTATTATTATAACACTAAACACTGATTGGAAGAAAATACCAGACCCTGAGACTCATGAAATAAAATTAGGACTCACCTTGCTTTTTCAATAAGGCAATAGAATCTTAATGATGTGACTCAGAAAATAAACTTTTTTTTTTTTAAATGTAGCAATCAATTTGACAGAACATTAAAATAAATGACATTTTAAAAGGGAGGTCAGCAACAGAGTGTTTGTTGTTTGGAGGTAGCCTCAAGGTGACAGGAGGAAATACGAGCAAACAGAAAAGGCTCAATATGTAGATGGGATTCATCTCGTAATCAATGAACTTGAGGCAGGAAGCTGATGATGCTACAGCTGTGTGCTACTTAACACGGAACACGTCAGAAAGAGAGCATAACAAACAAAGGAGATCCTAGGAGGCCACCAGATTTATGTTTTATGTCACCTCTTACCCCTGAGTAAAAAACTCTCTTCACTTCTGATTGGGGCAGAATTATTGGGAATAAATAAGGACAGAGATAAAATATGGCCTGCACAGAAACATGTGATTTCTGAGCTATTTGCCTCAAATATTTGAATATAATAATATTACTATGAACGAAACAGAAATGTTCAAATTTGAGCTGAGAAGATAACATGATACAGAATTTCTATCATAGTATGCAAAACAAAGCAGGAAACAAGTCATATTTTAAAACATATCCTTAGGAAGTTGCTTTTCTATTAACTCAAATTTCATTCTTACTGTTAGGTGAACAAAACAAACCAGGAATGAAAACCAGACCTATAATAAAGTACAAATCTAATATTCTAGGGTGTGAAGAGGTATCTCAGGGATGAAGAGCACTTACTGCTCCTCCAGAGGATCCGAGTTTAGTTCCTAGTGCCCACATGGTGGCTCACAAACCTAATACTTTAGCTCCAGCTCCAGCTCCTGGAATGACCTCTTGGTCTACTCAGGCAGAGCACATGGAGAGGCCACACACAAGCACTGATGACAAACTGCAAATGGTCACAGCCATGGGTTCTGACTCCTCTGGAACAGGAAGAGTTTTAGTGATCCATAAGCAGAACTTTGGTGGCCATATGGCTTCAAGAAAAAACTGGACACAAAATGAAGTCAAATTTTAAAAGTGTTGGCAAAAGACAGACAACAGACACACAAGAATGCATGCGCAAACACACATGTGTATGCCAACACGTACACACACACACCCCTACAAAATCTGCTTTGTCCTCCTTAGGTGCACACAGAGGAACTTCTTATCAACCTTCCTGCTTGAAATGTAGAGGGAAGAACTCTGGCCTCTCAGACTTCTGGCTGATTCCAGCTCCAGATGAGATCTGACTGTATTTCTTTCCCTCCAGTTCCAACAGGTAATCTGTGTTTCTTGTTAATTTTTTTTCCTCTTTTAAGTAGATGTTAGCTACTTAACCATCAAAACATCCAAACAAGAACAGAGAACAGACTTTAATTTGAAACCTAAAAAGCCTGGGCTATCAAAGCAGTCCAGTCTAAAACAAAATGTTGTTTTAAAAGTACAAGGTAATATCAGATCTCCTAATCAATGCTATTCATGAATTGAATTGCTCCTCTATTTCGAATTGCAGAATTTGAGCAAAATGCATTCAATAAAATATATGCTATTCATGTAGAAATTATATTACTATAATGCCTATAAAATAAAAACTACATTTAACTACATTTTCTGTGACAGTGAATTCTGAACCTATTTTAGACACAACATTTTCTTCCGATTAAATTTTAGGTTCATGTGGATTTGAGCAGATTTGCTCAGGCTAAAAGGTGTGCATGTGTGAGCCTGCAGGCACAAGGCCAGTCTGGTGGCCACCTCTCCTCTGCCAGGTTCTGACCTGAGCAGCTACTGTGGGGCCCTGGGATCTGCAGGAACTGTGGCTTGGGGACCACTGAGACAGCAAAGGACATGCTCTTCTCTGACCCAATGCCCCGGCACCAATCAATCAATGTCTTTACCTGTGAGCTCTGAAATTCTTCCCATCAACACAAATGTCAATGTCGGGACAACACTGATTCACGTAAAGCTTCAGCAAGTCTTCTCCTAATTCAGATGCAGGTTCCAGGTGATAGTTATCTTTAACAGAGAGGACAAAAAGCAGCACCTTTAATATTATAAACATCACTAAATTTCATTTTCTAATGTCTGCAGGTAGTTTTTTTTCACAATTATCTTGATTCAAAATAAAGTACAAAATTGTAAATCATATATACTTCCTACTTTGAAATATGTATTAATTATAAATATACCTTAAAATGTAGTTAATTCAAATGCCAAAACAAACTTACTTCATGAGTAACTGAATTAGCAAGAGAAGTTCTTCAGTACTGATGTTCTCTTCCAATACTCAGTCCTTACATCCTAAGCTACAGCTTGGACCCTGACTGGCCTCCAAAGGACCAGATGGCCTGTGAAAGGCCTGGCATACAGAGTGGTTTTACTGAGACACAGTGGCCACTGATGGACTGGGAACAAGTGGGAGGTTCTCACGTCACCTGAAATCGAGTGTCAAACTTTTGCTTCTCTTCAGCCACTGTCCTCCACCTACATAGCTAAGGATGACATTGAACGCATCAATCTCCTGCCTCTACCTTCCATCTGCTGAGATTATAGGATTGCACCATGTCTTGTTTATGTGGCACTGGGCATCAAACCCAGGACATTTTGCATTCAAAGCCGTCCCTCTGTCAACTGATTTGCATCCCAGCCCTCCTTTTCCTCTTCTGCTTCCCAGCGATGAGGTCAGCAGTCTGTTCTGCCAGGTGTGCTCTACCATTCAGTCTGCTCTGTCTACCGGAGGTACAGAGCAAGGGTCTGAAACCCCACAACCATGAGCTCAAGCCAACCCCCCCTTTTTTTTTTAAAGATTTTATTTATTATGTATATAACATTCTGCTTCATGTATATCTGCACACTAGAAGAGGGCACCAGATCTCATTACAGGTGGCTGTGAGCTACCATGTGGTTGCTGGGAATTGAACTCAGGACCCCTGGAAGAGCAGTCAGTGCTCTTAACCTCTGAGCCATCTCTCCAGCCCCTCAAGCCAACCTTTTTTTTTTTTTTTTGGTTTTTTGAGACAGGGTTCTCTGTGTAGTTTTGGAGCCTATCCTGGCACTCGCTCTGTAGACCAGGCTGGCCTCGAACTCACAGAGATCCACCTGCCTCTGCCTCCCTAGTGCTGGGATTAAAGGCGTGCGTCACCAATGCCCGGCTCAAGACAACCTTTTTATTTTGTGTGTGTACATGTGAGTGCATGCGTGTGCCTGTGCATGTGTGTGTGTTTGTGTGTGTGGTGTGTATGTGTGTGTGTATGTGTGTGTGTGTGTGTGTGTGTGGTACAATACAGTGCAGTGCAGTAGGCACAGAAACCAGAAAAGGGCATTGGCTCACCTGAATCTGGAGTAGTTACGCGCCACAAGATATGTGTGCTGGTATTTATCAGCTGTAGGAGTGCCCTGGTAGAATTCTGGGGGTCAGTTATATATACTATCATATCATCTGCAAATAGTGATACTTTGACTTCTTCCTTTTCCAATGTGTATCCCCTTGATTTCCTTTAGTTGTCTTATTGCTCTAGCTAGAACTTCAAGTACTATACAGAATAAATATGGAGAGATTAGACAACCTTGTCTTGTTCCTCATTTTAGTGGAATTCCTTGAATTTCTCTCCATTTAGTTTGTAATCCACAATTGGCTTGCTGCATATTGCTTTTACTATGTTTAGGTATGTCCGCTGTATCCCTGATCTCTTCAAGACCTTTATTATGAAGGGGTGTTGGATTTTCTCAAAGGCTTTTCAGCATCTAATGAGATGATCATGTGGTTTTTCTTTTTTTAAGTTTGTTTATATGGTAGATTATAGTGACAGATTTTCATATATTGTATCATCCCTGCATCTCTGGGATGAAGCCTTCTTGGTCATGGGATAATTTTTTGATATGTTCTTGGATTTTGCCAGCATTTTGTTGAGTATTTTTGCATCAATGTTACGAGTGAAACTAGTCTATTATTCTCTTTCTTTGTTGATTCTTTGTGTGGTGTGTGTATCAGAGTGACTATGGCCTCACAGAAAGAATTTGGCAATGTCCTTCTGTTTCTATTTTGTGGAATAATTTAAAAAGTTATTCTTTGGAAGTCCAGTAGAATTCTGCGTTAAAACCACCTGGCCCTGGGCCAGATGGAAAGATCCCCCATGCTCATGGATCAGTAGAATTAATGTAGTAAAAATGGCCATCTTACCAAAAGCAACTTTGCAGACCTTTAAAGAACAATATTCAACTTCATATAGACAAACAAAAAATCCAGGACAGCTAAAATAATTCTGTACAATAAAAGAACTTCTGGAGGTATCTCCATCCCTAATTTCAAGCTCCAGAGCTGATAAATAAAACCTGCATGGTACTGGCATAAAAACAGACAAGTGGACCAATGAATGGACTCAAAGATCCAGCGTAAATCCACACATCTTTGGATACTTGATTTTTTTGCAAAGAAGCCAAAATTATACAATGGGAAAAAGAAAGCATCTTCAACAAATGCTTCTAGTCTAACTAAATATCAGCATGTAGAAGAATGCAAACAGATCCATATCTATCTCCATGCACATTAACTCAAGTCCAAGTGGATCAAAGATTTCAACATAAAACCAGACACACTGAACCTTATAGATGAGAAAGTAGGAAATAATCTCAAATGCACTGGCACAGAAGACAACTTCCTAAACAGAACACCAATAGCACAATTGCCAAGACTGACAATTAATAAATGGGACCTCATGAAACTGAAAAATTTCTGTAAGTCAAAAGACACCATCAATAGGACAAAGCAGCAGCCCACAGAATGGGAAAAGATATTTAGCAACCCCACATCCAACAGAGGGCTTTGGGTATACACCCAAGAGAGGTATAGCTGGGGCTTATGGTAGGTTGATTCCCAGTTATTCACAGGGACACTTGCTCAACTATATTCACAGCAGCCAGAACCTGGAAACAACCTACATGTCCCTCAACTGAGCAATGTATAAAGAAAATGTGGTGCATTCACACATTGAAGTATTATTCAGCTGTTAAAAACAAGGACACCAGGAAATTTGCAGACAAATGGATGCAACTAGAAAAAAGTCATCCTGAGTGAGGTAACCTAGACTGAGAAAGACAAACATGGTAAATACTCACTCCTAAGTAGATATTAGCTGTAAAATACAGGATAACTGCTACAACCCACAGCCCCAGAGAAGCCAGGTAACAAAAGGGTTCAAGGGGGGACACCTAGATCTCCCCAAGAAGGAGAAATAAAAGAGACTTTGTGAGTGGACTGAGGGTGGGTCAGGATGGGACATGGGGGAGATGAATAAGGGAGCACTGAAAGAGACTCCTGGAAAGGGGGGACATTTCGGGGTCAAGTAAAAACCTGGGGCAAGAGAATCTCCCAGGAATCTACAAGGAAGACCACAGTTTAGACTCCTAACAAAAGCAGATATATAGTCTGATCTGGCTATCTCCTGCAACCAGATTGGTGCCTAGTCCAATTGTCATCAGAGAGGCCTCATCGAGCAACTGATGAAAACAGATGCAGACCCAGCCAAACATTAGGCAGAGTTCAGGGAATCCTGTAGAAGATAGAGAGAAAAGACTGTAGGAACCAAAGGACACCACAAGAAAACTCACAGAATCAACTAACCTGGGTTCTTAGGGGCTCACAGAGACTGAACTGACGACCAGGGAGCCTGCTTGGGACTGACCTAGGCACTCTGCATGTATGTTACAGTTATGTAGCTTGGTCTGCTTGTGGGACTCCTAACAGCTGTCTCTGACTCTTTTATAAGCCTTTGGAAGCCTACTCCTCATACTGGGTCGCCTTGCCCAGCCTTAATACACGGGGAGGTAGTTAGTCTTACTGTAACTTGATATGCCATGTTTTATTAATACTCATGGGAGACCTGCCCTTTCCTAAACAGAAATGGAGGAGAAGTGGATTGGTGGGTGGGAGGGAGAAGGGGGGCTGGGAAGAGAGGAGGGAGGGAAAACTGTGGCCAGGATGTTAATTAATTAATTAGTGAATTAATTTTGGAAGATGTGTGCTGGGAAACAAACTTGGGTCCTCTGCATGAGGTACTCATAACCACGGAGTTATTTCTCTAGTACCAATACTACATACACATCCAATACTGCATACACATGTAATACTGCACACACATGTAATATTACATACACATCCAATACTATATACATATCCAATGCTACATACACATGTAATACTGCACACACATGTAATACTGCACACATATCCAATAGCGCATTCACATCTAAGGCTACATATACACCTGAAGAGCTAAGCAGCAGGCAAGGGAAGATGCTACTTCTACAGTTCCTTCAAAAAATGTAAGCCACATAATTTAATGAAATATGAGAAAAATTTCTTGACACTAATAGAAAATTTAGAAACATATCAAAAGAAAACCAAGTTAATTTCAAGAGTTACACTAAGTGTTAGGTTATCACAGCTCTCATCGGTACACTCCAATAGTCTACTGAATTTGACTACACTGCAGCAGGGGGTGTAAAACACATGCACTTGGTCCCAGTCTCCCTGGTTCCTGGTGGAGCTCCTAAGACTTTCCGAATTCCCAGGGTGATAGAAGCATCTTTGCTAGTATCCACAGGTAAGCCCTTTGGGTGACACCTACTTTAGGCTAACAGGTAAATTAGGGTGCTGCCCCTGGATAAATGCAAGATGGGAGTCTCTAGAAAGACTAAACTCCTCCAACCTCTGGGCAGAGCAGGGACTGGAGATCAAGTTATCCAAATGCTGGAGATATGAAAATGCTCTCAGTCAGGGGTACTGCTCAATAATAGTCTTGAGTCCTGTACTCATTCTCTAGCACAACCACCACCAAAAAAGAAAAGAACACACAGAGAAAGAAAAGGAAGGAAGGAGGGAGGGAGGGGAGAGAATGGAGGGAAGGAGGAGGGGAGGGAAGGAGGAATAAGGGGAGGGAGGGAAGGCAGAAGGGAAGAAGGGAGAGAAGGAAGGAGGGATGGAGGGAGGAAGGAGAGGGGGAGGGAGGGAAGGAAGGAAGGATGGAAGGAAGGAAGGAAGGAAGGAAGGAAGGAAGGAAGGAAGGAAGGAAGGAAGGAAGGTGATTTAACAATAACTCTGAAAGCCTGGACCTACACGAATGAAGGTACCTCTGTCATTTCACAGATCCTCAGTAACGCCAGCATTCATTTGCATGCTGCTTACCTCATCTCCCATTGGTGTACTGTGTAGTTAAGGTTAGCATGGTTACATGTACTGACTTGTTTTTCTTCTCAGTATTCCCTAAATGCAGTTTAATAACTATTTACACTGTATTGGGAATTCTCAGTAATGTAGAAATGTGAGCATCCAGGAGGATGTAAACAGACTGCACACAAATCTACACCCTTTCACATAGGGGATGTACTCGACAACAGATTTTGGTGCCCACCAAGAGAAGGTTGCCATCAATCCCCTGTGAGTAACAAGACATAAATATCAGTAGCAAGCCTTTCACTGCCTAACTATTCTACTTCGGCCAACCACAGAGTTATCCTTCCTATATGATTCTCAGAAGCTCTAATGACTGCTTGCATCCTTTCCCATGCCCTAACCCTCCCCATTCCCACTACAGACAAAGAAGCACAAGTCCCTCTTTTTCTCTGCTTCCAGGCACAGTCAGTCATGTTTACTCTGCCTGGACTATTCTCTCAAGGCAGCTTTGCTCAATTAATTTGTCCCGTCTCCGTCTTCCCCACCACCACCACCACCACAGGGTTCCACTCAAGTGTCCCCCTGGAAGGCCTGACAGCACAGGCCCACCGAGGCTGGGTTCCCTGCTAATTGCAGGACGGCAGCAAGTTGAATGCTTGCATACGTACTTCTCACTTCTCAGTGAGTTCAAGGACAGCCAAAGCAACTAAGTGAGACACTGTATCAAAGACATTAAGAGGCTGGGGATACCTCTCAGGGTTAGACTGGATCCCTAGAACAAAACAAGAGAGAAATTACCTCCACCATGCAACTTTCTCTGCAAGTGTGAGTTCAGGTTGCCATGCTCTGTTTGTATTCTCTCAGCCACCTGCACCTCATTCACTGGCTCTACCTACTAGACTCAGGGCAGGAACACTGTTTTGTTTACTTTTATGCTTAAATGTACACAAAGTAGGTACACAATTAAAAGATGTGATGAATGACCAGAATGACATCACAGGAATTAAGAGCAAGTGCAAAAGACACAGAGGTGGCAGAGCACATTTCTTTGGGGAAAACATCAAGAAATTAACAGGACTATAACTCAGTGTAGAAGGGGATTAGAGGGTATTCCCTTTGTAATGGAGAAAGAGGTCTAGGGTAGATGAACCTTTTCCTTTTGCTCACTGGACACTTTAAAGAACTCCCATGTGGCCTTGGCAGAGTTCTCTATCAACAGGCTAACTAGCTATCAGACATTAATTTGTCCACTGTTCTGAGTGACCTTTGTCCCTTATAATCTCTGGGTATCCAACAACAAAATCAGCCATCTGTAACCACATCTTAGGGTTCTGAAAGACTAAATGATACTGAACATATAAATGGGCCTACATCAAAACCAAGAATATTCTTTTATTCATAATTAGATATGGTGAAATGGAGTAACAAAGAATTCTAAGCAATATCCTCACAAAACACTAGTAATAAGAGACTACAATCATTTCATTCACAGTAAATTCTTAACATTTCTTAGTTTGGTGTTGCTGCTGCTGCCGTTTTTTCTTAGTATCATTTCCCTGCACAGGAAGGTACCATGAGTGTCTCATGGGTTTGATGGCAGCTACCTGGTACTAAGGTGTTCCATCAATCATATAAGGTCTACTCTATGATCCAAAGTCCTCGGATTTCCTGTTGGAATGTCTGCCTATCTAATTAATCTCTTCCCCCATCAATTAATAATTAACTCTCAATCTGCAAGCATTCTGACACCTATTTCCACAAGAACAATTACTCATTTTCAAGATGCAATACCATATGCACTATGGTATTTATGTACAATGAACACTATGCACAAGTATGTGTTTCTTAACCATTTAACACATAAACTGGGCTACCATTTTTATTTATAAACGTCTCATGACAAAGTTTTCATGCTGTGGCAACTTTTTGTGTTTCCTGGTAGTTTAAGGAATTTGTATGCTGTGTTAGAACTAGCTCTCTGTTTACTAGAGAAGCAGTAACACTGAAGTTTCAGTAGCTGAAAAGAAAATGTGGACTTGTATGCAAATGTATTTGTCCCCAATTACTTGGAGATATGATAAGGTGACCACGGTGTGTTTCCTTTCTCCATGCTCATTAAAATAACAACACCATCTGCATATGGAGCTTTACAAGTGAGCTTGTCTCTACCACATCAGAACATCATTAAGTTCCTGGCTATGAAGCTTTATAAAAATCCAGCCAAACGTCTCACCACTGGAAATAAAACTGCCGTCTCTACCGGTAATATCCGCTGGTATATCACTCTTCCCAGGAAAACATCCAGACAAATTTCTACACTCCTGAAAGCTAACAGTGGCCTTCTTTTCCAGAATTACACTTTCCACTTTCATTTTTTTAACAATTTCCTCTTCATAGTTTTTTATGCTGTTGTTTGACGAATATACAATCCTAAAAGACAAAATATAAAATATTAGTTAAAATTTATTTGTCTTTTTGTTTGAGACCCCAGGGTGACCTTTGAACTTCTGATCTCTCAGAAGCTGGGGTTACAGGCATGCATCATCACATCCAGATTGGGTGGTGTTGGGGATGTGGCACAGGATTTGCCTAACACGCATGAGGCCCTACAAACAAACAAACAAAAAAAAACCAGGACTAGATGGCTTCATTGGTAAATTTCACCACATTCTTAAATATTAACACTAATATTCCACATTTTTTTTCCCAAAAAGTAGAGAAGTATGTCCAACTCATTTTCTACAGCCAGTGTTACTGGTATAAAAGCAGACAAAGGCATCACAGGACAGGAGAAAACCAGCCACAGTTCAATATTAGTATAAGAAAAACATCCTCAGCTGGGCGTTGGTGGCACATGCCTTTAATCCCAGCACTCAGGGGGCAGAGGCATGCGGGTCTCTGTGAGTTCAACGCCAATCTGTCTATATAGCAATCTACAAGACAGCTAGGACTGCACAGAGAGACCCTGTCTCATAAAAAAGAAGAAAGAAGGGAAAGGAAAATAAAACACCCTCAACAAAATATTAGCAACATATAAAAGAATAGCCAACAAAGATGTGCTTCAGAGATTCGTGACTGGTGAAACAAAAGAAAGTCTTACATACTATATAGACAGAACGAAGGGCAAGAAACACACAGTAAGGCTGACACGAGCACTAAGCACCTACTTGAGGTTGGCGGTCATGACTTTAAAATGGGCCTGGCTGTCATGATGAGGATGTAAGCGTGGGAGATTTAGCAGATATAGGACTTGAGGGGCTGGGGTGCTGGCTCAGTGGGTAAGCGCACTTGCTGCACAAGCATGAAGTCCTGAGTTCAGATTCCCAGGCCTCACACAGAAGCTGAGCAGGCTGCACATGCCTATAACCAATGTTAGGGGATGGACACAGGTGCATCCTGGGAGTTTGCTGGCCAGCCAGCCTAGCCAAATGGCAAGCTTCTGATTTGGTAAGAAACTTTGTCTCAAGTCAGTAAGTAGAATGCCAGAGGAAAACACTTGATGCCCTCCTCTGGCCCCTGTAGGCAAGGCATAGTGTACACACCTACACACTAACATGCATGACACACAGGTCCCTATGGGAAAGCAAGAGTTGGTCATGAGGCGGGAGGATGAAAAAGCTCAGACAAAAGCCTCGTTTGTGGCTTCTGTGGGAGGCCATGAACAAGATGAGGTGCTTTGGATCATGTAGGCAGGAATGTGAGTAATGGCTGTCCTTCCATCTACTACCTGGCCTGGGATGTGTAGGAGAGGGGAATGTTAAAATGTGACAACCAGATGGAGAAGAGCAGGTGTGTTGGTGTGCACAGGGACTCATGATTGGCTGGAGTGCAAATCAAAGCTGTGTTCACAGGCACCTCGTTTGCTGAATCTAGGGATTCACTAACCCTGGAAAGGGCAGTCTCTTCTCTGATGTAGTGAAACTCAGTGAGACTCTAGATACTAGAGCATCAAGACTACATGCTAAATGTTGTAATCTCAGAAATAATTTTTTAAAGGATACTGTTGCTGGAGTTTTTCTTGCCAGGTCCCACAGCAACCTTTCAGACCCAAATAAACACACAGACTCTGTATTAATTATAAAACTGTTGGCTTCTTACTGGCTAGCTCTATCTTAATTATTAACCCCTTTCTATAAATGTATGCATTCTCACTTGTTCTTGGCTTACAGGAGAACGCCCGGACCTGTTTCTCCTTTGGTGGCTACACGGCGTCTCTCGAGCGCCCCCTGACTCTTTCCCCAGCCTTCTCCTCATCTCCTAGTCCCAACTATCTTCCTGCCTCTATTGGCCAAACAGTGTTTTATTCATCAACCAATAAGAGAAACATATATACAGAAGGACCCTCCCTTCAGGACACATGGCTAGAGCTAAGAGGCATCTGCTGTAACCTCGGACAAGAGGATCACCTGAGTCTAAGAGCTCGTGGACACGTGAGGCAACATAGTTAGACTGCCTCTCAATAAATAAATTAAGTAAAATACATACATAGCTAGAACATGTACCTCAGTGGTGAAATGAATGCTTAGCATGAACAAAGCCCTGGATTAAATATCCACCCGGAATGCAGAAAATACAGCTACTGCAACAAAGGGGAAGCGACCCTCCACACTGCTAGTCTGCAGCAGAGAGAAAACCAGGAAGCCTCTGTGCAGTGTCAGGTACTACCCTGTCTGTGACCGATGTCAGCCTGAGCACAGCAAGTTCCTTTTCTTTTCCTTTCACATGTATGTGCACTTTCACAGTAAATGCAATGTTAAAACTTCTTGGAAAGCCAAAGATATTTATGGTCTTAATGTAAATTTTAATCTTGAGGTCATAAAACAAGCACTGTTTTAGATGAGTCACATATAGTACTTAATGTTTGTAGAGTAAGTAGAGTTTTAGGGTCTTTATGGAACAGAAGAAAGGATATAAAGTGAGGCAAACAATTGAATTTCATATAGCAAAAATTCAAAATTCTATTTTATCATAATTTTTATTTTTTTAAAAAGTCTCAATCAGACCAGGCATGGTGATGCATGTGGGAATCAGAGATGACAGATCTCTGTGAGTTTAAAAGCCAGCCTGGTCTACATAGCTAGTGTCAGGCCAGCCAGGGCTACAGGGTGAGACCCTGTCTCAAAAAGAAAAAAGAAAGAAAGAAAAACGGAAATCAATATTTTCTATTACAATATGCCCTTTAGGCTTTATGTTAATGACAAATTTCAATGTAATCTGCTAAAAACTTGGGGGCATGTATAAGCACTTTCTACATGCAAGGCAGTGGCTGAGACATCACCTGTGATGTGGCATGTATCAGACAGTCCGGTTCCAAGGTGCTCACATGACCATGGACACACCCTGACGACTAACAATAACAGAGTGTGATTAAAGGCCTAGCCTGGGGCCCTGTGAAAGGGAGTAAAGAATAAAGCAAGCTATCTAACTTCCTTATTCTAACGGAGAAAACTGAGGCTGAAAGGAATCTCACAGCAGAGGAAGGCAGAGCTCTCCTCATCCCCCAAACTATTCCTGAGTCAATCTTTTCTCGATCCCCCCTCCTCCAGACAGGGTTTCTCTCTGCAGTCCTGACTGTCCTGGAATTCATTATGTAGACTCACAAGACACGCCTGCCTCTGCCTCCAAAGTTCTGGGATTAAAGGTGTGACACCGCGGCTTGCCTCTTCCCTATCACACACACACACACACACACACACACACACACACACACACAATTCTATATACATGAATGGTTTGCTTGCATGTGCGTCTATACCCTGATGCCTATGGAGGTCAGAAGAGGGTGTCAGATCCCAGATCCCCTGGAACCAGAGTTAGGATGGTTGTGGCCACCATGTGGAATTAAACCCAGGTCCTCTACAAGAGCAATAAGTGCTGTAAACCACTGAGCCATCTCTCCAGCCCCCGTCCCTATCACTTTTAATGATGACAAGTAAAAGTTAATACTAATGAAATATCTCCATACCCCTATTACTGAGATTACAGGAACATACACAACATCTGGTTGTGGATCAGTCTTGAGTTTGCCTTTGCCAATACTAAGCCTCTAATATTACAAAACAATGTAAATGAATAATTTTTCTTAGATTCTGTAGTAAGAAAAATATGCACACATAGTTTTTAATAGCCAGCTGTTTATCAGATTCAAATGTAACAGGGAACTTACTGTAAAAATGTTCTAAACTCTGAAGCATCCACGCTGTCCACAGGAACAGGCTCGTTTGTTAAACCACTCGACATCTGTCCAAGGACGTGGAAATGAAAGCCAGGAGCTCTGGCTAACAAGACTGCCCTGTGCACTTTGAACAGAGAGCCACCAACAGAAAGAACAGTGTCTGTGTGGATTTCTTCCCTTAAAAGCCTGTTAGGGAAAAGGGTTATAGTTGGATTAGTGATGCTTAAAATAGGTAACATGTTTAAAACAACCTGCATCCTTAGAAATACACAAGAAACAAAATAATAGAAGCCAAGCAAGATGGCACAGAGGGTAATGTTGCTTGTCACGTGAGGTTGGCTGGTGACTCAACTTCCTGGAACACACAGAGAGGTGGGAGACACCAACATTACAGAAATAATTTAATAGAAAAACTGGGTTTGTTTGAGTTCACTTTAAAGAACACCACACTTAATATATGTTTTGACTCTGATTTTCTAAAAATTTGTAGTCAAAACAAAAAAGAATTTCACTAAAGCAAAAGTGAAAACATTTAAAAATACTTTCTTAAATCTACTAATAAACCTTATTTTCTGCTATTGTCCTGTCTAGTTTTATGTCAACTTGACACAAGCTAGGGTCATCTGACAGAAGAAACCTCAATTGAGAAGATGCCTCCATCAGATCCAGCTGTAGGGCATTTTCTTAATCAGTGATTGATGGGTGAGGGCCCAGCCCATGGTGGGTATTCCTGGATTTTATAAGAAATCAGGCTGAACAAGCTACGGAGAGCAAGGAGTTAGCAGGACCCTCCATGGCCTCTGCATCAGCTCCTGCCTCCCTGTGTGAGTGCCTGTTCTGATGTCCTTCAGTGATGGACTATGATGTGGAAGTGTGAGCCAAACAAACCTTTTCCTCCCCTAGCTGCTCTGGTCATGGTGTTTCAACGAAGTAGTAAAACCCTAAGACAGCTACTAATACTGGTTTTCCTTTAAAATGTACCTTCTTGAGTTTTATAATGAAACACAGAGCAGAAAGTTAACTTAGCTTCTGACTACTGAAGAATCAATTGTTCAAAAATCACACTAAAACTGAACCAAAAATGCATATAGTCAACAGTCAGAAACAAGACTAACAATAGGCAATTCAGATTAGAAACTATTACATTTCTAATTACCAAGTCTAAAATACAGCCTTGGATGTCAAGACTGTGACATTTATGCCCTTTCCCATCCCCACCAAACAGAATTAGTCATGTTCTAATCTATTATTCAAAATGACACACTCAGGAGGTAAACCCACTTGAATCCCTAGTATACAACATATGTAGTTATGGCAAAGCCCACTGATTTCATGTACTTGTAAACTGAAAAAAAAAAAACAGAAAAATAGCAAAAAATTTCACAGTCTATTCACTAGCCTCTTTTTATTAACTATGTATTTCTGCTCTCTACATAGTTACAATACTTTGTTTGTCTCACTATGCCAAATCGCCAGTATGGACTCTCAGAGGATTTCTGTATTGCAGGCTATAATTGGCAGTCACACCAGAGCACCACAGGAGGACCATGGACTGGGTAAAGATATCCATTACAATGAAAACTTGGAAAGCAGCCAGTGGCACTCAAACTCCCCCAAGACCAGGCTAATGGCTCCTTCCCGATCCCACCACACTAGGTCCAAGCCTCTATTACTGCATTTCTGTCATTGCATCATTATGCTTTTTATGCATCTCTCCCCACTAGATAATGAATTCCCAAAGGGCAAAATCCATATGTCATTAACACACAGAAGAGTCCAGTGTTTGCTTGTCCGCTGATTGAATTTTACACTAAAGAAAACAAATGCCTCAGAACACGGCAGCTTGTGAAACTTTGCAAACACGTTTTAGCTCGGTCAGTTTGTCACAGAGACTGTTTTTGCAGGTAACTAACTTCATGTTACACAAACTGTGTTGTGCTGCGCCCCACTGCTGATGACATGGATACACAGACTTTCCTACTCTAGAGGCCCACACTGAGCAGTCTTGTCGTGTGGCCAGTTCCCGGGAGATAAAGAGCCTGATGACTTAGGTAACTTTCAGGGAGAACGCTCTTATCCTCTTATCCCCACAAGTATGTTACAAGCCCACTCCATCATGGGCAGCACCAAGTCTATCTTCTCTAGACATACATACCTACTGTAAAATTTGATTTATACATTAAGCAGATTAGCTACTGATAAACTAGAATGCATACAATAATATGCTACAATAAAACATATTCAAAGCTTAACAACAGTCAGGCGGTGGTGGTGCATGCCTTTGATCCAGCACTTGGGAGGCAGAGGCAAGTGGATCTCTGGGAGTTCAAGGTCAGCTAGTAAGTTCCAGGACAAGCTCCAAAGCTACACAGAGAAACCCTGCCTCAAAAAACCAAAAAATAAATAAATAAATAAATAAATAAATAAATAAATAAAACAAAAATTCTGGGCTGGAGAGATGGCTCAGAGGTTAAGAGCACTGACTGCTCTTCCAGAGGTCCTGAGTTCAATTCCCAGCAACCACATGGTGCCTCACAACCATCTGTTATGAGACCTGGTGCCCTCTTCTGGTGTGCAGATATGGAAGAAGAATGTTGTATACATAATAAATAAAATCTTTTTTAAAAAGGAAAAAAAAACTTAACAACAACAAAAGTGTTGTTTTCTCAATTTTTAGCTGAAAACTTGAATTATTCACTAAATTCGTTCCTCTCTCCCACCCAGCTTCCCTCATGACACTACCCCCCTTCAAAAGTGAATAAGGAAGCATTCAACTGGCACCCAGCTGGGGATACCAGCCTAGCATATGGAGGCCCTGGATTTGATTCCCACATGCCTGGAATTCCAGACACACCGGAGGTGGAAGCTGGAGAATCAGAACTTGGAGCTTGTGCTAGGTGTCTTTCAGCTGTGCCCATCTGGTCCACATTAGACCCTGCCTCAAAACAACAAAAGTCAGATCTAAGTGAGAGCCAAACAGCACTAGAACAGGGGAATCCTGTTCATATATGCTAACCAGGATATTTGTTACATTTTAAAAAATAGGCAACATATATATATATATATATATATATATATATATATATATATCAAATGTAAAGCTTTTTGTTTTATAAACCACTTGTATCAGCTGCAAGCGTATCTTGAATTTTTTTTGTAAGTTAAAAGTCTGACTCAGACTGACTTAAACTGAGTTTCCCTGATAACCCTACCACCTCTTCTAAAGTGAATAAGGAAGCAACATCAGGAAACACCAGTAAAATTGAGTGTTCACTGGCTCACCCAGCACTAAAAGCTAGAGGAAAGCAGACTGAAGCAAAGGCCCAGCTTATTTCCATCTTTCTCTTTGCTAGCTACTGTTCTGACCTGCTGTAGTCTATTTTATATTGATGCAACAGTACACCACAGACAAGATATCTAAAACAAACAAGTTTATTGGCTCACAGTTCTAGAGGCTAGCAATTTCTAATTTCAAGATGCTAATATCTGGTAAGGGCCTCCATGCTTCGTCATCACAGGTGGAAGGCAAGAGGGCAAGCAAGACCAAAAAAGGGCCAAGGTGCCCATCCACACAGGTCAGGGTTGATGTCAGGTGTCTTCCTCAATAGCTCTCTGTACTTTGAGACAGGATTGTCCTCTAAACCAGAAGGTGGTTTGCTGGTCAGGCTGGCCGGCCAGTAAGCCCCAAGAAGCCTCCTGTCTGCCTTCCAGGTGCTGAGATTACAGTGGATTCGACCACATCCAGCATTTTTGTGTAGGTTCTGGGATACTGAATTCTCATCTTCATGCTTGAACTGCAAGCACTTTTACTGGCTGAACCATCTCCCTAGCCCCAAATTCACTCTTTAACAAGGGACCTAGTTTCACCCACAAGAATGGAACCTTCAAGGCCTAACCACAACTTAAGGACCTGCTGTTCCACTGACAGTTGAATTTCTTTTCTTTTCCTTTCTTTCTTTCTTTCTTTCTTTCTTTCTTTCTTTCTTTTTTTCTTTTTTTTTTTTGTTTGTTTTTTGAGACAGGGTTTCTCTGTGTAGCTTTGGAGCCTATCCTGGCACTCACTCTGGAGACCAGGCTGGCCTCGAACTCACAGAGATCCACCTGCCTCTGCCTCCTGAGTGCTGGGATTAAAGGCGTGCGCCACCAACGCCCGGCCGACAGTTGAATTTCAACTTGTATTCAAATCAGAGCATAAACTATGTAAAGTATCTCAGACTTCTATTAAAGTTTATTTACCACTAAACATTTTGTTAAGTATGAACCATGTACTAAGAACATAAAGACAACTAAAAGACTAAAACATAACAGTTACCCCATGGAGTTTTAAGTACAGAAGGGAAAACCAGGTCTGGAAATGGAAAGAACACGATATATTCACCATCAAGCACACTCCCTGACCAACCCCACCTGCCCCAGACAAGACACCACACAAGACTGTACCCAAGATATGTTTATTAATGTGATCGATAAAGACTTTGTAAATACCAGCTGATCCATAGGGTGCTTTGGGTGTGGTAGACTGCAAGGGGCTTTTAAAAGCAAAACCACATCCTGGCATCTCACTCTGCAGCTGCAGACAAGAAGGAGAACAGGCGATGAGGAACTTAGACCCTGCTACTGGGGAGGAGAGTCAACAGCCCGAAAAATGGGCAAATCCGTCTTTTAGCGATCATTCTTTAGTTGGGTATAGTGGGACTTGAAGTGAGGAGGATGCAGACTCCTTCACAGTACAACAGATGACACTAGGTGCCAGGTGAGGGTCAGTGGTGACAGACAGGATGAAATTAAAATATATGTAGGTAATAAACTAGAGTTGATTGGATATAGAAGTGAAGGTGAAAATTCTTTGGTTTGGATAAGCGGATGCTGGTAATGCTACCAACCTTTAATCTGTAGGCGCTAGCCCAATTTCTCTCTTCAACTCATCTCTTGAGATGTATTTCTAGCTGTCTTCAAGATAGAGTCTCCTGAGTATTCATTACATAGTTCCTTTCCAACTGTCCTAAGATGTGGAGCCATTTTCTACTGTTCCCTCTCTCAGCTTACCCACCTATATTCAGTCAACAACCTGTTAACTTTTCCATTCCCACTGTCAGTATGGAATCCTCAACTATCATTAAGTCCTAGCTGACTTGTTTCTGACTTCTCTTTTCTTGAAGTCAAGATCTAGACATTAATTCTGATTTTTTTTTTAGAAACACTAATAGTTCTATAAACTACCTACAGAATCCATGCCAGACATGGACAGTCCATGACAGAAAAGGAAGGCTCTATTATCTACAGTTTTCGTCTATCCATTCACCCGTTTTGTCTGCCATCACCACAGACATCATCCAGATAAAACAGTCTGTCTTAGTGAGAGTTACTACTGCTGTGATGAAACACCATGACCAAAGCAACCAGGGGAGGAAAGGGTTTATTTGGCTCACACTTCCACATCATAATCCATCACTGAAGGAAGTCAGGACAAGATCTCATACAGGGCAGGAACCTGGAGGCAGGAGGCAGAGGCCATGGAGGGTGATGCTTACTCTAGCTTGCTCAGTCTGCTTTCTCATAGAACCCCAGACCACCAGCCCAGTGATGGCATCACCCACCATGGGCTGAGCCCTCCCCCATCAATCACTAATTAAGAAAATGCCCTACAGCTGGATCTGATGGAGGCATCTTCTCAGTTGAGGTTTCTTCTTTTAGATGACTCTAGCCTGTGTCACACTGACATAAAACTAGCCAGGACACAGTCAAATCTACTTATATGATCCTGCTTTTTACCATATATCCCAAAACCTTAATCTCATCTGAACTGGACTATATCTGAGCCAACTTTAGCTTAATAGGTTAGTTAAGCAAGGTAACTTCTACAGGGATAGTCTATGATAATCTGGGGGCCAAGTGGTAGCACTCTAAGAGTATACCTCCCTTCCCTCCTCCAGGGAAGAAATATTGAGATAATATACTTTTCCTCCACAGAAGCCCATCCATCATGCAGCTACTTGCAGCACGGTGGCAGTGTGACAGGGCAAGACACTGCAGAGGCCATTTCAGGTTTAATTAGAATTTTCTCTCCTTGGTAGAAAATCCCATGAAAAAAACTACCCACCTCTATTCTAGGAACCTGAAGTCCAGACACCCCAGCTCTAACACAGCTTCTGTTAACTGTGCAAACCTCCTCTGCAGCTAATCACTTAAATTCTGTTACAGTGCTTGCTTGTGGAAAATTCCCCCTGCAGCTACAGGTTTTTGCCTTTAAAAGCTCCTTACTCTAAATGCTCAGACTACACTTAGATGCCGGAATACCTAAGTGTAGTCCCAGTTGGCAGGAATGAATACTTTCAACTGGCTATAATGTCTGAGTGGTCATCTCTGGCAGGCAGGCTCTCCATAACAGCAGAAAGCAGCTTGCCTACTTTTCTGACTCCAAACCCAAAGCATAAGTTTTCTTTCTTTTTTTTTTTTTTCTCTTTTGTTTGTTTGAGACAGTGTTTCTTGGTGTAGCTTTGGAACCTGTCCCGGAGCTCTGTAGACCAAGCTGGTCTCAAACTCACAGAGATCCACCTGCCTCTGCCTCTGCCTCTGCCTCTGCCTCTGCCTCCTGAGTGCTGGGATTAAAGGTATGCGCCACCACTACCTGGCACACCTTTTTCTTTTTCCTTCTTCTTTCTTAGCCTTTTCTTTTTAGACACTGGCCCAGACACTCTAGATTTTCTCACTCTTCTTTGGAAATAGCCCACACATCACTTGGTACTTGCCTTCCATCGGGGAGCCTGACAGCTTTCTCAGACCCAGACACCTGCCAAGATTTATAGCTTGCCTATTGAGTCCGTTTTTAAATTATTTTATTACTGAGACTATGAATCCAGAGAAGAAAACCTCCGTTTTCTCGGTAACATATGGAGCCCAATGTTGAGGATCCCACAAAACAAAAACCAAAAGAAAGGTTTGTAGAATAAGGGTCAGAGAAATGGTTCAGAGTGCAGAAACACATACTGTTCTTGCAGAGGAGCTGGGTTTGGTTCCCTTCACCTACATCGTTATAGAAATAAGCCTTCCCAGTGAGAAGTCACTTTCCACCCTTGGTTATAGCTAATTAATCCCAAGGGAGAGCTGGCCTTGAACAGACTTTACTTATGTGTACACACCTCAGGCTAATGCATCTCAAAATTGCTGTCGTCCTTAAAGCAAGTCCCAGCCCCAGGTTGCACTTTGAACAATTTAATCAGAGACAAGAGACTGCAAGTCTGGTCACCTGGGCAGACGAGGCGTTTGCACACCAAAGATATTGCCAGAATTATTTTAAACACACCAGCGGAGTTCTTTTAGAATTGCTCGTACCCGGGTTCCTTTTCTCCACCTGGCAGAATTACACTTTTCCGGATAGGAGGGGGGGTGATTAATGGCAGACTAGGACTTAATGGTAGCTGTGACCCTTGCGCGGCCCCCTGTTAGAGGCATGTTGTTCCGCCCTTCGTTCCAAGTAGACACTAGTTTTCCTGTCTCATTTTCTCACAACTTTTTGAAAGACATGGTTTACATTTCCCGGCCTGGACGCAGTCCGACCTCAACCACGGCCCCTGCCGGTGTGTAAACCTTTTAAAAAACCATAAATTGGTGCTGCTACACGTGACTGTTTTTAATGCGGTGTGCGGGGTCCTCTTTGGGAGATGGGGAGCAGGGCGAGCACCCCACAGGTGCCTCAGGACCAGAGTGAGGCGGGGAGGGAGGGAGGGAGCGAGCGAGCCGCGCTGTTCCCGCCTCCTACCTGAGCACGTCGCGGCTGAGCTGCTCCGACACCATCGTCTT